GAAACCTTGCGCCCTCTCGCTTTTGGAAGAAATTTTCTTTCCCCCGAAATTATTTTTCTGATGTTTTTTATTGTTCATCATCCATTAAATATTTCTAATTCGGCCCGCCACAAATACAGGCAGTCCCCACTTGGCAACTCCGACGTCGTTTTCCCATAGACAGGAAAAACAGAAGAAACATCACTTGCCGATGCCTTTTTACATTTATCGGCCATATTTAACCGAGTTTAATAGGTAAGCATCCACAAAAAACACTTCCCAACGACGAAAGCGCCAACGAGACCGACTGTTCAAATGCGAGTCATGTCGGAAGATGCGTCGTAATCGGGGTTTCTGCGTCGTAAATCGATCCACGTAAACATCGTCGGTGTGGATCGTCGTCAAATCGGACCGCCGTAAACCGGAGACTGCCTCTGATATGTTCACCCGCGTCACCCACGCCACCTGCCCTCCGCTCGCCCCTTGTCCCCAGCGGGGCGGCATCACGAGGCCTCCACGCCATCGGCGGAATCGAGCAGCCGCTATGTTCCTCCTGACAAAGCGCTCGCTCTGTTTAACGTGAATTACGGTCACGCATGTGTGCGCACGCGCGTGTGTGTGTGTACATCATTCGCGATGGCCAGGGCTGCGATGATTTCGCAGAGCGGAGCCAAATGACCTCGTATTTCAGAGCCGCTTTGTGAAACGCATTGAAGCAGCAGCGGTGGCGCCGTCGTTAACGGCTCGTACCGCGAACCCAGAGAATCAAGTTCGGTTCCCAGACGAGGCAAACGCCAGCGGTGAGAGCGATATCTGCAGTGGTCCCTAATCTCGCCACTTCACCGACTCTCAATGACCATCATGGTGAAGTACGGTTGAACAACGCCCCATGGGAGAGGCCATCATCCAGCAGTGGATTTATGGAGAGCCGTGAGATGTTGTTTTACATGAAAGACTGGTACCAGGTTGAAAACATATTCCTCTTGGCTGACCCGGGTCACACTTTCAAAAGGAACTTGCAATCTCATAGGGTGCTCACGTGGTTAAACAAAGACAACTGAGCCTGATAAACTGAATCATGCCACCGCCAACTTCCCTGTTGGCTGCTGAAAGTCTATTGAGTTAACCCCAACCCCACCACCCGCCCCCACCATGCCACTGACATGTTAATGTCAAGGAGCCGAATTTGGTCGAAACGTTCAGTTACCGATGTGACACGGACACACGTGGTGCTGATGAAAGTGATGAAACCTGGGGTGGAGATGCTCTGGAGGTTCAGCGTGGGCTAACTCTGACAACCGAGACACGTTGCGATGATTTCATCACTTTTTTGCTCTTGTTGTTTTGTTTTCAACGGTAAAAAGATGTGAGATTGGCACGGAGATCGGGAGTTGCTCCGTTTGACGTTTGGTGATCGATGCTCGCCGAGCCGAGCCGCCTGCATCAGGCCTCCGCTCGCTCACGAAGGGGGAGCAGCAGTTTCTGCACTCGCACACGTTTCGACACCGGCCCGCGCTCTCCGCCATGCATTCCCCGTCCGGTTCGACAACAAGAAACCGGAATGACAATCCCCAAGCGAAGAGTAAATGTTCACCCCATTTTTCTTTTTTTCTTTGCCGCCGCCGCGAGCACGTTCCAAATGTGCGCCGCCGGCTTCGTGGCAATGCACGAACAGAAACACCGTCTGCAGCTACGACCATTATTGCATCACCCCCCGCCCCCCCTCCCGTCTCAGAAGTGGCCGCGGAAAAGATGACGTCGCTAAAAACGAGCGGAGATTGCATTCAAGGGGCCTCTTTCACCCCCCCCCCCCGCTTTTATAACGTCCTGAAAAAATGGCGTTTGTCATACGTCAACCGAACTGAAATTTAGTCGGAGAGCTATAATTTAGCCAGATCAAGCGATAAGCTCAATTTAGATTTTTTTTTTGTTTTAGTGTGTGTGTGTGCAGTCATTGGTGACCAGGATTCTACCGTCAAGTCATTGCACCTGAGAACCGGTTTAATCGTAGGTGTCTGCCCGGATTTGTACCCTGCATCTCAGCGGTTGCAGCTCAGCACTATTGAGCCCTGAACCGTCCGGCTAGCAGCTTGACGACTTAAAAGCTCCAGTGACAAAAAACATTTTTTTGCTGCAGTGGTTTGGGCAGTAGATCGACTGATGGTGAAGAATGCTCAAATCTCGTAATCTCGACTCGGAATTTGTTTAAAACATAACGTGGCGAACGGCGTTGCCAGCGTTTGCCCTCTGCCGACTTCTGCTCCGGGGCAAGTTGCTCCTGTACGTTGCGTTTCCCTCTGCCAATGGAGCCGGCCGCTCCCCGCGTGCACGGCTTTCAGGTTTCTCGCACAAACACCCACGGGGACAGGCTGGGGGGAGGGGGAGGTTTGCGGCACGTGATAAGAGCGGCCGCGTGGCGCGCACCACACCACCACATTGCCTTGTGATCGTGGGTGGCACCCAGTGTCATAGCCACACCGTGGCATAACCTCTGAGTCTGCCGGGCAGTGCATCTAATTGCGACATTCTCATCACGGGAAGCAGAATTTATCACAACAGCAGCAGAGGAGGGGAGAGAGCTGCATGTGTAGTGTATTTCACGGGGACACACACTTGAACTTGGAGGCAACACGGTTATTCAACAACCCCTACAGGGTAACTACATAACGTACAACAGTTAACTAGACCCCAACAGGGTAACTACATAACCGTGTCAGGTCAGTAACGTACTGCCTGACCCACGATGCCGAACGTGACGACCGAAGACCAAAGATCGAGGAGACGTTGCCCGACGGCTTTGATTCCAGAAGCCAGACAGCCGCGATTGCTCTCGCGACTTCCCTTTTATTCTCCCGAGAGGCGTGACCTCGCTCCGCCTTCGGCCACGCCCCCTTCTGGATCTCACCAGAAGGTTCTCGACCGAACACCACGTGTCCCTCAAGCCACCCTTTGGGCCCCCTCGCTACCCTGTGCCGGTCACGTGCCCTCTCGGGGTCGCCCAGACTGTCACGTCCTCACATGCCCTCTCTCTGACCGTCATCCGAACCATGCCCTCTAGGTCCCGCTTCCACGCCATAGCTACCCTGGTGCCAGAGAGAGGCTCGAGACGCACCGTTACACTCTTGTGACAGCAGCTAGCGCTACACACCATAGTGGCTCCATTAACGTCACTGCACTTGTAAACGCATTATCTCGAGTGCTCTGTTATCACGCAACCGACAAAAAAACTGGCACGTTCAAATGTCTCGGAAAGCGACTTACAGATTTCCCCAGGACACAGCGACTACAACAAATCGTGGGTAGAAAGAGAACCGCCCCCCCCCCCCCCCCCACCAGGGACAGGTAGCAACTCCAGTTCACGCGGGCGGCTGTGGGCCGACCGCACGCGGCGCGATCCCCATCGCCGCTCTGGCCTCGTGTGGCCAGCGGAGACACGCGCAGGTACCGTGCTGTACCCCCCCCCGCCCCGTCCTGGACTCTGACACACGCCGCTCTCACTTTGGCGAGCTGTAGAGCGCCGTTTATGGCCACGTCCTGGGTGAGAGTCTCCCGTGAGCAGATGCGAAATATTGGCTCTGACCCGAAGCGTCAACGCACAGTCACGTGATGTGTTTTCCCAGCGTACTATTAATATTTAACTTGAGGCCCGTGCCCGTGTTTTCACTAATGACTACAGTATTTCTTTATTCCGCTTCTCCTTCGTCATGTTGTTTTGCTCACACATTGTTTATTTTACTGTGTGTGTGTTTACGTGCGTTGTGTATTTCTTCTGCGTTTCACTCGCTAATTTATCGACGCGCGTCGCCTATGGCAGGGCCGTTTTGCCGTTCCCCATTCCGCTCCGCCGACCCTCGTGGGCAAAGCGGCAAACAAAGCGGAGTAAGGATGCCAGCCAGGGGTGGGGAAACCCTTTTACGTACCGAGGGCCGAATAAGCACTTTAATATCTCCCCGTGCGGGCACGCGCACGTCGGTTGGCACTTGAACAGCGGGTCGCGCTACACGGCCAGCGTTCTGCTATGCGCTGGCCGTGTGCTCGGAGCTACACGAAGACTGAACTCGCTGCGAGTTGATACGCAGTGTTGTTGCCAGGTCCACAATGGTCCCCTCTGGTACCCGATTGGCGTGGCTAAGATGCTTCGCAGTGACGGATAAGTGATCGTTTTGCGGGCCGTTCCGAAGTGGTTGGAACCTCATGTGGCCGAGGTACCGTACGAAACGAAGCCGTGGGCCATGCGTGTCTGGCCCCATGGGGTCGTAGGTTCCCTGCCTGCAAGGTGAATTTTATTTTATTTTTTTTGATTAGGTAATGCCCAGTGAGCTATCGACTTGTTTTCAGAGGCGACCTGGGCACGAATCATCGCTCATCAAAGTGACTTATTCATTCATCACACGTGGGAATTCATAGTAATAGCCCAATGATTTAAACGCACTTGTATTGAGGGCAAACCGAAGGACCCGGAGATAAATCGACGCCACCACGAGGAGAGAGAACATGCAAATTCCAAATATACAGGTGTCCATAATAGAGGGTTTTTTTGGGTTAGTAGATCGCGTAAATAAAATGCGTCGTGAAACCCGCCACCACCTGACGCAGCCAATTAGGGTCCGGGATCGAACCCAGACCTGAAGAGCAGGCGAGGGAGATAACGATGGTGCGTTGACGTTTACAGACCCTACCAGCGCCACACGGGGGAGGTGACGTTATTGCTCAGAGACAAACATTGACGCTGAGAATAATAACACGAATTTGGTTTTGCATTTGTGTATCGAGACCCTTGAGCGCAGAGCACGAATCCTCAGCGGCGTCTCGGCTCTCACAAGGGCGGTGGGGGGGGGGGGCAGGGAGGGGGTGTGGGGGGGGAAGCCAAACCCTTGTCAAACGCAGCGTCACTTGTAATTGCGAGCTGCCACCTTGGCCTGCTGTGGCTGATGTCACCTTGTACCCATCTCCTCCCTCCTCCCTCGCATCACCACCACCACCTCCTCCTCCCCCTGCTCTCCCTCCCCCGCCCGCCACAGCCGTGAACCACAAGCGCCACCTAAGCAACGGGATTGCCGTCTACGGGGTCCCGAGCAGCCGCGTGGACGTGCCTGCGGCGTTCCCCGAGGGGGAGATGCTCCTGCAGGTGAGACGCGAGCGTGCCCGGGCAACGCTCCCGCCCGCCCGCCCGCCCGCCCAGCCGGCGCCGGCGGTCGGCGTTAGAGCGGCCGCCTCTCCCCCCCCCCACTCTCCACTCTGCACCGCGTGAGGTCACCGTCGCATTGGCCGTCGCCCAGCGATTCAGTCGCTCGATCGCTCGCACGGGCCCCTGGGTATTTTTTGTTGTCGCGGGTTATTCCACGAAGGACACGCAATCTTGGAAGCCATCGGTAACGCTGCCGCCGTGAGCGTGACAAAGGTGGAGCATCGATCGGGGTTTATTTCGTACGGGGAAAGTCCCGAGTAGTCGGTTGCCCGGCGAGGTTTTGCGAAGGGAGTTCCCTGGTGCCATCAGCACAGAACAAGGACAGCAACAACGGCGGAGTGATCCGTGCGGAGGAACGGAAAAAGTCGGAACAGAACGCGTCAGAGGTGCAGACAAACGTAGTGGGATATGGCAATGAAATTAAGACCCTTGTGTGATTACCGGTGCCCTCTGGGAAATAAAATATAAAAGTTAAACAAGGGATATCCCACTCATATGGGCATTGAAGGGGAAATGCTCATCTCATCTGTGCAGCCTTGAGCCAGTGGTGGAAATTCCACATTCCTCAGGTGGGTGTGAGTTTATACAAAGGATCACTCACTTTATCAACCCCGGAGGGATGATGGGCTGTGTCAACTCCCCCCCCCCCCCGCCCAACTAGGATTTGAACTCAGAAGCTCCCAATCGTGAGCCGCGAGCCCTACAGCAATTTACATATTGGTTGTTTACGTAATTATAAAAAAATAACGTTTTGTTCAAATAGAGTTTACTTCGTTTATAGATTGCAGATGAAAGGTTTGCGGAGGGTAATTCTTTCCTTGTCAGTGGAAAGTTCGCTCGCTTTATCTCGGATGCCAGACCAAATAGCCGCACAGCCAACGCTTGCTTTGGCAGCCCGTCAGATTTCCGAGCGTGAGCTCATCGCTCCGATTCGCCCCCATGGGAGATGCCAGGTATTTGTGTTTCTGTTCACCTGTCTGCGTTCTCTTCTACTCTCAGGGCACCGTCACATATCCGACCCGACCAATTGACCGCACCAGAGAAAGACAAAGAATCCCGCCGTATAGCCATAACGGACTTTTTTTGGAGCCAAGTGCTCTTCGCGAGCACCTATGAAGGCCGTTCGCGGCACACGAGGGGGTGGGTGGCCAGCACCAAGCCCGGCCGCGTATTCAGTTTAGGCTGAGTCGACCTAGGGGAGGCCCAAGACCTGTTCAGATAATCGTCGCTATTGTTGGCCGTGAGCGGGAATCGACTCGGCTCGCCGGGTTTCGTAGCGCAGCGCACTAACTGCTTCCACTGCCACTCTCCCCAATTAACTGCACACACGCACACACACACGCACACACACACGCACACACACACTGACACACACACACTGACACGCACACGCACACATGCACGCACACACACACGCACACACGCACACAGACACGCGCACACAAAGATAAAGACAAAGATCCCCCGTATAGTCTTAACAGACTGTAGGGGCAAGTGCTGTTAGCAAGCACCTAGGTGCTTACACGCGCACACACACGCGCACACACACGCACAATTGCAGCACGTGTACATGCTTACGGCTGTCATTTTCTCTCGATATTGACGTCCGCCTACGCGTCAGTGTCCAGAGAGGAGTTGGAGAGGCGACGTTGTGCTGTACCCACGCTTGCTTCTCTCTCCACCTTACCCCTCGCGGCGAGCGAACAAACGGGCGGGAGGGCGGGATGGGTATAGCGTGCAAATAGCGACTTGGCACACGGAGCCACAATTATAGAAACCACATGCAAGAATGCGTGACTCTGCCTCGGAGCCTCACGCAGGCCAACGCGCCGTCTCGCCAGCGCTCCGGCCGTGCGTCGCGTCTCAACGACGGACGCAACGGCGCGGACCTGCGCGACTCTGCGCCCGTTCGCCGCTTTGCGAGTCTTCCCCCCCCCCCCCCCCTAAATTTTTTAAAATTTGTCACTGTTAGGCATTTGCAGTGCTTGTTTGGCAGTCCTTGCTCTGCCCCCGTGAGAGTGCATGGACAGAGGTGGGTGGGGGGCGTACTGGAATGTTGAGTTATGTCGGTGCAAGCCAGGCCCAGCTCGAGCTACTCTTGGATTGGGGGGGGGGAGTAGCAGAGCAGTTGTGTGTGGGGGGTGGGGGGCACCGTAGCAGTGTAAGCCGCGCTGAGGAGAGGGAACTTGGGTTGGCTAAAGGGATAGATTTGGTGGTGCGCGGCCTGACCCAGTATCCCCCCCTAGCACCGGAGCTGTGGCGCAGAGTTGACTTTCCGGTGTCCGTGAACCGGGTCGGACGTTCTGTGGGCGACCGATATCATTGTTGAGGCGTACAAGACCACCGCTTCGTAGAAGCCCTCGCAGCCAACTTACTTGCCGTGCCCATTGATCCTCTTGGTTTGTGTCGAGGCATCGGGTGCATTGATCAAACCGTACCTACGAGTGTTTAATCCCTGAATGCCGTACACACATGTTGGCAGGATTAACGCTGTGGTTGCCCACATGCACAGACAGCGAACAAACGCCGTCTGCGGGTCCAGAGCGGCCGAACAAACTTTCTCTCGTTGGCCGAGACGAACGGCAGCCAAAGGAGAGAGCGCGCCCGAGAGGGGGGGGGGGGGGGGGGGCGCCCACTGTGGAAATGGAGCGTCGACAGCAGCGTGCGCGGGAGTATAATGGAATTTTGCATCGCGATCCCGTGAGAGATAGCGATGGCTTTGGGAGGCCTACATCCAGCAGTGGATAGATCGTGGCTGCCGATGATGACTATGACGAGTTATTTCTTAGAATACAGCTCAAAGAACAACTGAACTGTTGACCTTTGAGCCCAGGGGTTTGGCAGTGGGGGGTTCCTCTCCTGTGTTGAAGCGTCCGAGGAAGTGGAGCGATGCAATCGGCTCGTGGGCATGAGCTCTGTGGATTTTAATATGGCAGCATTCACGAGGGATGGCTGCTGCCGATATGGCAATGATGTTGATGATGATTCAGGCTGCCGGGAGCGTTGTGCTAAGAGTTTGAAGTTCGTGCCGCATGCGACCTGCAGCTCCCTGCCTCTGCCAGGCGTCAGTTTTGGCTCTCCCGCCGTCCCGGCTACGGCCGCACTCGCACAATAAACTGCTTGTGGGACGACTAAGCCTCGGAGACGAATGGCCTGTCCAGGCTCAGCGGGGTGGCGAGGGGGAGGGTTGCAGCAAGGGCAGGCTGCCTGCTTTGGCACTTTGGCATCGCAGGCTCAAGCGCTGATCAACCCTCGTGTGCGCATACCATCCGCCCTGCGTTTTGAGGGCCAGGTGTATCATCATCATTATCATTTCCATATTGCCGCCACCTCTCAGGACCTTACCCATGTATCGTCTTCATCAGCAGCAGCAGCAGCCATGCTTATGAGCGGCACAGTGTGGTTGGCAGAGCCCCATGAGTAATATATATGAAAGGGAAATTTGTGAATGTGTGTCTGTTCGAAATGTTTAGTATACTTCCCAACATGCAACAAACCTCAAATTTGGCATGTGGGTAGCTTCCAGACTGTACACAATGCAAAAAGTATAAAAACAGACTTTTGGGGGTGCGCAATAATGGAGATATTTTGCTCGGCAAGTGAGTGGTGACGTCAGATCTGTGATGTCACCCGGCAGCGTCACGCAGTGTGCCTGTTGACGTCACGCACCCCCCCCCCAACCCTCCGCGTAGGCCTTCTATTAATCCAAGACAAGAATCCAAGTCCAGGCGAAGCCGGGTAGTGAAGCTCGTGATAATAGTCGAGCGAGTTAATTATATGGGGCACCTCACCCACCCCACCCACCCCCTCTGCAACTGTGCCCAACCTCTGTGTAGCCACCTGGGCCTCGGTGCAGTCGCTACGCCTGCACACACGTCAGCCACGTACTCATCAATAACCTTCTGAGCAGCCTCGAGGATTCCATTTGTGGCACTGAAAACAACATATATATTGCCTGTCCCACCAGGCGCACTCTGGTATTTGTCATCATTACGATCGGAGCCGTTTGCGCCGTGTAGAGTTTTCCCCGACGTTGGGAACACCCCAGAAGCCGTTCCCTCGAGGGTGAAGTTTGCAACATTCCGCGTGAACGACGCGTACAGTGGCGCCGTGTCTGGCTCGTCCGTACGCTCGAAGGGAGGGACGATTTTAAATAATGAACGAGCAAAATGGCAAGGCCTCAGGACGGCGAGCGCGGCAGAATGTTCTCTGAAGCGGTGATCAATGGGGCGTGCGTCGTTCTTTATGTCACATCCGGCCCTGGGGGGGCGGGGAGGGAGGGACAGCCACCCACTCGGACCCGGTGGCCACCGTCGGGTCCGAGGACAGCTCGGTGGGACTGTCCGGTGATTGCCCTCACCACCAAACGTCTGGAGGCGGGGGGGGGGAACTGAAGAACGCCTCCCCCCCCCCCCCCTTTAAACATGGCCACGTTTACAGGGCTGCTACTCAAACTCTCGAATGCGAATCCATTACGGCAGGAGAATCCATTTCTGGCAAGGTTCGGGCCTTTCTCAGAAATGTGACCGTAATAAATAAATAAATATCCTCTTGTAGCGTGACAGTAAAACTAAGACCACAACAGCAACGACATTACAGCAGAGTCAATTATGGGGAAATAAACATCCTGAGAGCATTAATAAAGTTAGACCAATTAATGCTTTTGAAGGATATACTAATATCAGGTTATAAAGGTCATGTTTTCTTTTGCTATTGCAGGGTGAAACGGTGGCGCTGTAGTTAGCGCACTGCGCAGCCACCTCCAGTCCCTCTGGGAATCAAAGCGAGCCCAAAATCACAGCGTCAACTCACGATGATTCACGTGTACCTTTGTCAACCCATCGCTGGGTGAGGAGGCCTCCCCGTGCTGCGTGAGGCTTTAGGCAACTGGTTGATCGTACTTTGCCATGCCGGTCGGGACCGTTTTCGGTCATCGCTCACCGCCGATGTTACCCGCGGCCAAGAAAGGAGCTCGGGTCGCTGGATTGCACACCCTGAACAGCGGCGCCACTGGCCCCCTGGCGTGCACGTTCCGCGGAGTACGTGAGCACCGTCGCGTGCACGGTGTTGGTGCCCGTTTCTTGCCACGCACAGCCCCCGCGGCGCTTTCAGATTGTCACCTCGCTGCGTCGCGGCGGTGTAGCGGTTGGCGCGCGAGCGCTGCGGCCAACACCTCTCCGACTCCACTCTGGGGTGTGACGCGTAGGCGGACGTCAATGTCTATAGAAAATGACAGCCGCACTCACACACGCGCACAGCTGCACTGTGCGCGTGTGTGAGTGCAGGTAATCGGGGAGAGCGGTGCGCCACGAACCCAAGTTTGATTCCAGCTCACGATTATTTGAACCTGGCCTGGTCCTCCTCTAGGTCGATTCAGCCTCAAATGAGTACCTGGTGCAGTGTGTAGACATCGCCACTGGGGAGACAAACAGCGTGGTGTTCGCCACCCACCCCCTCGCGTGTCGTGGCGGCCTTCATAGGTGCTCGCTAACAGCACTTGCCCCAACACTCTATTAAGGCTATACGGGTGATCTTTGCCTTCGTGCGTTGTGACGCGCACACCCCCGCGGTGCTTTGAGATTCGTCGCCTTGCTGTGTCGCGTGCGTGTGCAGGCGCTGCACGGCTTTGCGTTGGTGGTGACCGCGGAGGGGCTTGTCTTCTACACGTCCCACACCATCCAGGAGTACCTCGGCTTCCACCAGGTGGGCTGCGCTCTCACCTTCTTCTTCCCTTCGCCGAGTTTCCGCCGGTTTCGCCACCGCCGCCTCCGGCGCCGTTTCCTGACCTCCCGTCGAGGAGGTCACATCGCTCGCTCGCGTCGGAGCGAATCCGTCAATCCCTCCGCCGAGTTTCCGTGATGCCGGGGGGACAGGAGAGTCATGCAGGGGTCACGTAGGTGACCTCTGCAGCGCAGCGATTAATGCGTCCACGCTTGAGCGTCGTGGGGCCCTACAGGTAGGCGAGTAACGACCAGGAGCTTCATAAAAAAACTACTAAACTATTTTTTATTCTACCAGGTAAGGTCCCATGAGCTGTGTAGCTCTTTTTCAGAAGCAACCTGGCCACAAAATGATAGCTCAGCGAAGTGGCTTATCACGTGCAAATTTATAGCAGGCAAATACTCGAAGCACATCTTTCTAAATGTGGAGGGAAAAACGCGACCATGGGGAGAGAGACATGCAAACTTCAAATATACAACAGGCATCAGGGTCAGGCTCGAATCCACGACCTCCTGCATACCTGTCATGGGAGATAACATCTCGGTTTCCATTCCCGCACACACCACATCCAAGCGTACCTCTCGTTTATGAACGCAGCTACCAGTCACGTGCCCGCGCCAGTCCACGGGCGACTCGAAATCATATTCAGCGAGAAAATTAAATCCCCCCGGGTACAGCGACCATTGCCGATGGGCTCTGGATGACGACAGACGAAGTGAGCGGCCGATTGGCAAAAACCGAGCAAATGGGAGACAGAATCAGATTCTGTATTTATCCTGGAGAAATCCGATGAGCTATGAAGCGTTCAGTAGGGGCGGGTCAGAAAGTTACAACAAACATAGGAGTGCAAAGTATAGGAAAGGTAAGCAGATCACTCAAAATAAATAAAATAAATATATTAAGTATGTACGTTCAAATTGCATAAGTACACCAATTTTCAAGTTTGGGCAAGGCAGCAAAACAACAAGATGAACAGTCCCCGTCCACACCTAGACAACACACAGTCCCTCAATAACATTAAAATTGAACTATCAATACATGGGCAAGGATTAAAGTTTTAAATCACATTGGCAAATGTGGTTGTGTCCAGCACTAAACTAACGACGGCAAATGGCTTTGGTCCACCCATTCAATTCGCTCGTTCTCGGGGAACTCGCATCGCGCCGGTGTGCAGCCATTGCGCCCGCTCTCGCGTCACTCCGAACCTCCTCCCTCTTGCCGCCGCCGCCGCAGTGCGACGTGGTCCACCAGAGCGTGTACGAGCTCGTCCACACGGAGGACCGCGGCGAGTTCCGCCGCCAGCTGCACTGGGCGCTCAACCCTGCGTCCACGCAGGGCGCCCGTGGCGGCGGCGGCGACGGCGGCCAAGGAGGTGAGAAGCGGCCGGCGGTCTCTGGGGGGCTGCCCTCAGGCGAGAAAAACGAGCGGGTCGACGGCGTCGTTGATTTAGCGCGGGCGACAGTGGCGGGGGTGGTGGGGGTGGTGGGGGTGCCCCACTGAGAGCGATGTTCTCTCCTTTCAAGGGGAGGACCTGGGTAACGAGGAACAACACGGAACACGTGTGTGAAAGATCAAAAACTACGGCGTACGCACACGGGGGATGAAATGTTACCGAGAAGGTGCGCGTGTGTGTGCTTGTGTGTGCTTGTGTGTGTGTGCTTTTGTGCGCGCGGCCGGTTTGGGAAATCACTGCTGGGTGGAGGTCTCCCCATGCCATGCGGGGTCACGGGCGTTGTTTGGCTATACTTCACCGTGCCTGTCAGTGTGGGTGGGATGGGGAAGTGGGGGGTGGGGGGCGTGTCCAAGACCAGCTCAGATGTGTGGGAGCATAGAGCATAGTACAGCCCACAAGTGGATTGTGCTGCACTGCTGCAATATTCAGCGAAAGCAATTGAAGGGGTGGAGCTGCGGTGCGGTGGCCCAGGCACCGTGCGGCCTCTCACATCGGTGGCGAGCGACATCTGAACTGGTCCGTGGGTGGGTGCTCCCCTCACCGGCCCACACTGGCCAACGTGGCGAGGTGTGGTCAAACTCCACCCCCCCCCCCGCCCTCCGTGATCTGCGTGGGGAAGCCTTCATCCAGCAGTGGATTGTCAAAAATAGCTTGATGATTCAGCTCTGCCTTGCAAAAGAGACTCGTAGTCTGAATGAGCTCTCACCTGGTCCCGAATAAAGTCGACGAATGAACAAACGAACAAATGAAGTAATGAAGACGAGTGGGCGTTTGTCTCTGATCGCCGCAGACGGGCGCGCGGCCGTGGAGCAAGGTCTGGGCACGGTCACCACGTTCCACCCGCAGCAGCTCCCGCCCGAGAACTCCTCCTTCCTGGAGCGCCAGTTCATGTGTCGCTTCCGCTGCCTGCTGGACAACTCGTCCGGCTTTCTGGTGAACACTTGCCCCCCTCTCCTCCCGCTGTCCCCCCCCCCCACCACGCGCCACCCACACGCCCGGCCGGGTCAAGGTTTGACCCCTGCTCACCCACATGCCTTGCCTAGGCCCGACCCCTCCTCACCCACACGCCCGGCCGGGTCAAGGTTTGACCCCTGCTCACCCACATGCCTTGCCTAGGCCCGACCCCTCCTCACCCACACGCCCGGCCGGGTCAAGGTTTGACCCTTGCTCACCCACATGCCTTGCCTAGGCCCGACCCCTCCTCACCCACACGCCCGGCCGGGTCAAGGTTTGACCCTTGCTCACCCACATGCCTTGCCTAGGCCCGACCCCTCCTCACCCACACGCCCGGCCGGGTCAAGGTTTGACCCCTGCTCACCCACATGCCTTGCCTAGGCCCGACCCCTCCTCACCCACACGCCCGGCCGGGTCAAGGTTTGACCCTTGCTCACCCACATGCCTTGCCTAGGCCCGACCCCTCCTCACCCACACGCCCGGCCGGGTCAAGGTTTGACCCCTGCTCACCCACAGGCCTTGCCTAGGCCCGACCCCTCCTCACCCACACGCCCGGCCGGGTCAAGGTTTGACCCCTGCTCACCCACATGCCTTGCCTAGGCCCGACCCCTCCTCACCCACACACCCGGCCGGGTCAAGGTTTGACCCCTGCTCACCCACATGCCTTGCCTAGGCCCGACCCCTCCTCACCCACACGCCCGCCGGGCCCAGCCCCGATGAGAGCGGCAGCTGCTTGTAATTTGCACCTCTAGACTCGGATTTATTGCCGTTTACTCAGTCGCGAAGGATTGACGAGTGTGATAAATCTCATCGTAGGTCTATAAGTGGACTCATTCTAAATTTACAACATAGGTGACTGAAACAAAGTCTGATATACACCAGGATGCTTCCGAAGCCGTCCGCTGGCTCACTCGCCAACCGCGAACGTATAAAGTTCGCAGTGCGGGAGAAGACATTGATGATGAGAATCCAGGGTTTGAATTTAGGTTGCAGCCTACCGTGATTAAACTTCTCAAGTGTAGCGAGTTTATGACCAGGCTCAGCCTGGTCATCGACGAGTGCTAAATAAAACTCCCATAATTAGTAAATTTTATTTTACAGTTAATTTAACTCGGGCCACTTTGATTCAACTGCATTCGGCACTGCCGTGGATCCCTGAGGGATAATTTAAGTTGACGTGTGAACACATTTAAATTAACCACCACCATGACCTGCATCAAGCTACAGCTGAAAGCTCTCACTCGTTCAGGTTTTCACCTGTTCAGGATCCCCTCACCCATTCAAGGTGGCTTACGAGGAACTTGGAGCTCTAGCTCCGTGCTTATGAGTTCCCGATGGAAGCATTGCGTCTAATTCGTGAAATATGCACGTGTCATAAATCGTCTTTTTTTATTATGATGACAATTAACAAATGCGGCTGTAGCTGTCTAAACGTCGAACACAGGAGTCACATCAGCCGTCGATCGTGACCGCAAAAAAACATCACGGGAAGTGGAGTTCAGACAGCGCACACTGCCCCTAACGTGCGCTGCCTCTAACGCGCCCAGCCCCTAATGCACCCAGCCTCTAACGCACACAGCCCCTAACGCGTCCAGCCCCTAATGCGCCCAGCCCCTAACGCGCCCAGCCCCTAACGCACACAGCCCCTAACGCGTCCAGCCCCTAATGCGCACAGCCCCTAACGCGCCCAGCCCCTAACGCGCCCAGCCTCTAACGCACCCAGCCCCTAACGTGCCCAGCCCCTAACGCGTCGTGGCCACGTTGCCCCCGGGGGTGGCTGCAGGCGCTGCTGATCCAGGGCCGGCTCAAGCTGCTGCACGGGCAGAACCAGCGGGGGCTCGACGGCTCGCCGACTCCGCCGCAGCTGGCGCTGTTCGGCGTGGCGACGCCGCTGCAGCCGCCGTCCATCCTGGAGATCCGCACGCGCAACATCATATTCCGCACCAAGCACAAGCTCGACTTCACGCCGACGGGCTGCGACGCCAAGTTCGTGCACGCGCTCGCGCGACGGTGGAGCGGTTGCGCCGTCCGTTCGCTCGCACGGTCTCGTCGCGCTGTTCCTCAGAGCACGGGACATTTTTGTTGGTTAATTTCCGGCGCCGGTGATGTCAATTATTCGTGAATCTCTTTCGGTCAGTGTCCTTAGCTCGACCAGGTGAGACGCAACCGCAAAGTTTCGTCTCGTGTTTTTGTTGTTGTTGTTGCGTGGAAACATCTGGGGGCCGTTCAGAGTTACGTAGCATCGTGTCACTGGCTCGTGAACACCGATCACTGTGAAGCGGCACAGAGAGAACGGTAGCTGTGTTTTGCATGACAGTGATAGAGGCTTAGCATCGATGCATCGATTTGTCAATTATTATTTATGATTAAGCTCCTAATACAATCTGTTTTTCGACGAGCAGCCATTAACAGATGGGTTCACAAGACTCTCGGCAGCCGCAAACAGCTGTTAAGTTCACCACAATTAGGATTGCCACTCGCACATAATGAGTACGGATGGTGTATATTTCAGATGGGTCTCCCTCAGCACTATTTGAACTCTTCTTGACTCATTAAACCGTTGGCGTGATCTACGCCGTTTTTCCAAACGCCTCTTTTTGCCAGGACGTACGTCTTCCGAAATACCACGCTTTTTTTAAGTGAATCGCTACCCCAAATTGCAACGATTCATCGAATGCCTGCGGGCAGGTGAATCATTGCACCTCCAGTTTTCCTGTGTGCAAGAGTTGTCCCGCCAGGCGCTTTGCTAGCGGTGCCAGCGGCGCCAGTGGGCGCTCGCCGTCTATGCAACTAATCGCCGGCGTCCCTCGTCCGTGTCATGTTGTGCCGTCAGGGGCCGGATCGTGCTGGGCTACAGCGAGATGGAGCTGTGCATGCGTGGCACGGGCTACCAGTTCATCCACGCCGGGGACATGCTCTACTGCGCTGACAACCACGTCCGAAGTGAGGGCTCTACGCGTGCACTCGCGAGCTTTTAGAAGCATCGTCGGTTTTGCCGAGCAATGTTGGCTATGCATGTGGCCTGTAATCCAGCACTGTGGAGGCAATGAGAGACGGTGGATCGCACGAATGTTACGAAGCTCCCTTCCCGTCGGCCGTTTAAGTACCACACCCTGGCTCGCCAGGCGAAGGCAGTACAGCAAGTGGACTAATCGCCATCTGTTTCCATCTGTATGGGGATTGAGCGTTGCCCCTTCACGCACGTGGATTTTCTCCGGGTACTCGCTTTCCTCCAAGTTGTATAAACAACAACATTAATTAGCTGAAGAAATCTTAAAATAAAATAAAACACAAAGCAGGACCCTCCTGGAAAGGAGTTATTCCACTCAGTGTAATAATAAGATTATTATCCACGATGGCCTCTTGCATGTATGTTGAACTTCTTTAACACCGTATGGACCCAACCGTGCTAATTGGAGGTGCGGAGGTGGGGGGGGGGAAGAGTTAACCAACTAAACACAACAAGAAGCAGTTCTAAAGAGATGTTTACATCCCGGCTGCATTTTTACGTTTCTCACATTTCCTCTCGGCCCAGTGATGAAGACCGGTGAGAGTGGGTTCACCATCTTCCGGCTGCTGACGAAAGACAACGGCTGGGCCTGGGTGCAAGCCAACGCCCGTCTCGTCTACAAGGGCAACCGCCCCGACTACATCATCGCCACGCAAAGGCCGCTCAGGTGGGGGGGCCCCGCCGATCACGCGCCGATGAGCCGCCCAACAAACTCGACGGTTGCGCGCAGACGAAAGTCGGCAGGCAGAACAGCCCCACCGTCGTTCGGCTCTTGCCGTGACTTCGTAACGTAACCGCTGTCCGTCCCCCCGTCCCCCGCTCCGCACCCCACACCCCCCCCCTACCGCTTCCCCCTTCACCTCCCACCCCTTGCCGCGTCCGCCGATCGCAGCGACGAGGAGGGAGAGGAGCACCTGCGCAAGCGCGCCACGCAGTTCCCGTTCACGTTCACCACGGGCGAGGCCCTGCTCTACAACACGGACGTCTTCCAGCCGCCGATGGGGGACCCCAGCCTCGGCGGCGGTGGCGGCGGTGGCAGCGATGGTTATGCAGGAACGGAACAGACAGCGGCGGCGGCGGTGGGGGGGGAGAGTCAAGCGGCCGGAGGCAGGGGCGGCGGGAAGTCGTGGCCCATGGACCCCAGCTCACTGATGGCCGCGCTGATGTTGCAGAACCAGTCGGTGTACGTGCGCACGGCGGCCTCCAGCGAGGACCGCCTCCCGTCGTACACGTTCAACGACGCCTCGTGGCTCGCGCCGAGCAGCGTCGCCGCCGGCGGCTCGGTGTGCCGCCGCGGTGGCGATGACGACTTCAATCGGAGCCTGGGCCGGATCAAGCTGGAGGAGCACGACGGCGGCAGGGCGGGGGCGCCGTTGACGCCGTACTCCGGTGCGAGCACCAGGGACGAGCTGACCGACATCTTGGATACGCTCGGAGTGAACGTCAACGACATCGAGCTGGTGGAGGAGGAGCGGCAGCTGATCATGGGTGACATGGAGATGTCGTCGCACCTGGGCAACATCCTCTCCAACGACGACATCATCTCCTTTGTGGAGGACCTGCTCAAGAAGCCCGACTGCTGCGTCGCGCCAGGTCCCGACCGCGCAGCGTCGCAGCTGCCCAACCCGAACGCCGGCGCCGTGGGTCCAGAGCCGTCCGGAGCGCAGCTCGGTTTCCCGAGCCCGCCTTTCGCTCACGGCTTTGAATTCTACAGCGGCCGCGAGACGGCGCAGAACTGCGTGCAGAAAGCGCCAATGTCGAGGCCAAAGCAGGCAGCGATGTCGGAGGGCAGCGACATTCGCAACGGCTTCCTGGCGCAGAACTTCTTCGACGGGGCAAACGGCAGGGCCGTCGTAGTTTCACAGGGCACGTCAAACGTCCCGGCACTCGGCCTGCCCAAGCAGGGCACGCCTCGCGGCGGTGCCGGACAGTGGAACGCGAATGTTGTGTCGGCCCATGACATGGCACACGCCCGCTCGGGGTACGTGGATGGTCAGCTGGCACTCGGAAGCAAATTGCAAAACTGGAGCCCGACGATGCAACCGGGTTGGGACTGCGCGAACGTCACGCAAGACCAGATGCAAATGCCTGGCGTTGTGGGACAGTGCGGGGTCACCGGGCCGGCCCTCGTGAACAACGCTCACGGCCACGGCACGATGGATGGCAGCGCGTGTCAGGGCCCTTTCGCCGGTTTGCCGAGCCACGGCTACGCGGGAGGGGTCCTGGACTTTGGTGCCGACCCTGTGGCGTCTTTTCCGCCCCCTTGCCAGGGCCCGGTGTCTGCCGGATTGATGCAGAACGGCCGCTCTGACCGCGGCTGGCCCGCCGCCGCCGCTCACGTGCGGCAGCACGCGACGGTCACGGGCGCCGGCATCGGCACGTGCTTGGCTTCCGCGGGGAACGGGGACCCGTGGAACGCGGCGCCGGTGCCACCGTACACACCGATGGAGGTGGAAGGCATGAACCCCCCGCAGTACTCGGCCTGCGTCTCTCAGATGCACGTGGCGCCCGTGGGCAGTGGCGTGGCCGGCCTCCACCCGGACCTCGCCGCCCACTTCCACCAGCAGCCGGCGCTTACACAGCCGGTGAGCACTCGCAGTAGCAGCAGCAGAGCAAAATCATTTGACATGGCCTAAGAGCACGACCGTGAATTGCCTGTATTGTTTTACTGAAGCAGAAGTTTGGTCGCACTCTCTTCTTCTCAGTCCACGGACCATACAGTCTCAGGTCCTGGGCTCAGACGAAAGGGGAAAATTGGACGGAGTTCCCCATTTAATTCCTCGCACCCGAGCCCTTGCCAAGCACGCCACGCCACTGCCTCTCCTCAACCCGCCTTTAGTGCGTGTGCCCATTCTCGTGCGCACATCTCAGCCAATGCGACACGTATCCCACCGGGCGATTGGCCACTGCCGATGCACGTCTGGCGTTTGGGTTGGTTCAGATGCCGCCCTCCCACCATTTTAAACTAACTGACCGATGGCCCATCCAGAATAGAGCGACACAGCTCAAAGGAGGGCATTGTGGTTGATAAAAAATATATTTATAAATTCCTTCTCGACTTTTCTCTTTTTCGAACGAAGATTAAAAACTGCCGTATTTGCCCCAACACAATCGTTAGGTAAGTGACAATGAAAGCATAAATCATAGCCTTGTAAGTAACTTTTATTACGATCCATATTGGACTGAGTGGCCCAGAAAATGTTAATGGCTTATTGTAAAGGTCAGTTTCCCATGAGGGAGAGCAGGTTTATTTAATTTAGCTCAAAAATGAACCCCCACCCATCCCCCTCTACTCCCTCCCTTGATGCTTTGCAGCTGTAGTAAATACTTTGTCAGGGGGCAGCAAGGCTTTTTAAATAGTGAAAGAAGGCATTTATGCGAATCCAGTGTTCGGGTAATTTTACAGCACTTCTCACTTCGTTAAACTTTCTGGAGATGTGTGCGAGGTGACTGACGTGGGAGACCCGTCGTGAGCGTGGGCGGGTCAATAGGTCAACGCAGTACATTCACGAAATGGCAACGGAGTGAGTGGGACCCGCGTCTGCCGACGTGAAGGCAGCGTTGGGGCCGCGACGCGGGGAGGCACTTTGCCTGTCACCGTCGACAATTCCTCAGTTTAAACAAACAGATATTTACTTTGCCGTTCAATTGGTTGGCCGAGCAAAGAACGGGCAAAAATAGTTCCGGTCGTGCTGGAAGCTCAACGTGAGAAAGTAATTTTTTTGTCGCGCGTATGTTTGTGTGTGTGTGTGCGCGCGTCTTACTTGTGAAGTTAGCGGCTGCCATTCGTCTTGGGTGACTGTTGCCCCGGCTTCCGCGGGGAAACTTACGTCAACACGAATCAGAGTTACTTTGATAGAGGGCAGAAGTGCAGAACATGACACAATTTTGCCTTTGCCCATCATTTAAGATTAACGCGAAGTTAAAAAAATTTTTAACACGTTAACTCCATTTTCAGCTATTTTAGGGAAATGTTAAAGGAGCTTTGTCCATTGAGATAAAAGTGTGGATTATTATCGTTCATATTTATTGACTGCTATTAAAACCCAGTGAAAGAGACGGATGTTAATTGGCACGCACAGCGACCGTCTCCGCGTGAGCAGCTACGTTCCACACTTCACCGCTGGGAGGACCGATCTGACGACAGAGAAAGTCTTTATTTGTCCAGAACACAAACATCGCATTCAACATATCTTGTCCGTTAATTCACATTTTATTTTGGGGTCGAAAAATTAAACATGAGTAAAAAGTCGCCCCATGACAGAGAGGATTCGTATTCAAAGTGCGCGTCTGGCAGAAAGGGCGACGCACGGGACGATTGTGCCGCTCGCGTTCTGCCGGCGGGCGCTTTGATGCCTCGCAACAACTCGAATTCGACACAGCTGCAGCGCCAGCATGGGCTACCTCGCGGGAGCTCATGCATTCAGCATGGGCGACCGGGCCGGGGCACCCTCAGCGAGCCGCAAGTGTAACTCGAAGCAGGTTTACGAAACTCACACACGCGCACACAGGCAAGCAAGCACGCTCGCACGCACGCGTTCACACGTTAGCAAGCCCGTCCACTCACGCGCAAAAGGACAAAGATCCCCCGTTATAACGGACTGTTGGGGCAAGTGCTGTTTCGCGAGCACCTATGAATTTCCGGAATGGTACGCATGGGGGCGGGTGGGCAGCGCCACATCCCACTGCCTTTGTCTACCCAGTGGCGATGTTTACACACCGCACCAGGTACTCGTTTGAGGCTGAGTCGACCTAGGGGAGGCCCAGGATCAGTTCAGATAATTGTTACCGATGTTGGCCATGAGCGGGAATCGAACTTGGGTGGCCGGGTTCGTAGCGCAGCGTGCTAACCGCTACACAACCGCTCCCCACTCACGCACATGCACACACACACACACAAAGATAAAAGTCTCAGATTTATCCATACAGAATGTTGGGGCAAGTCCTGTAATCAAATACCCATCAAGGTTGGCACGGTTCATGAGAAGAACTGCTGAGTGGCAGCCAACGTTTGTGTTCTGTTAGCAGCACCTATTAAGGCCGGCATGGCACACGAGGAGGGTGAGTGGCCAGCACCACATGTGGTCGTCTTTGTCTCGCCAATGCTGATTTTTACCAGGTACTCACTTAAGGCTGAGTCGACTTAGGGGAGGCCCAAGACCGGTTCACACATTGGCACCGACACACACATGCTAAGGCCCATTGCATGAGTGGTCGGGTGATAATCAAGCATCATTATCATCCACAATTAATCCACTGCTGGATCAAGGCCTCCCCCAAAGCCTTCACCATCCCTCACCGTCCTGGGACACAACAATCCTCCCAGCACCACGAGCTGATCGCATCGCTCTTCCCCCGTGAGCGACGCCGTCTTGGGGGCGAACGTTCTCTCCGTTGGCTGCCGCTCGGCAGTTGTCCTCAGCCACTGGCAAGAGTTGCGGTGGCTACGAGATGTTTACTACCTCGCCTGGTATGCAGAAGGTCGTGAGTTAGACCCTGTATATTTGGCGTTTGCGCGTCTCTCTCCCCGTGGTCATGGGGATTTTTCTTCGAGTTTTTCCCTCCACGGTTAGAATCAACATCATGCGTTTAGGGGCCGTCCATAAATGACGTCACGCACCTGGGGGGGGGTCAGACATTTGTGACGATGTGTGACGAGTGGGGGGGGGGGGATTGAGAAATGTGACGTCACTTCAAAATGCGCAACTTTCAATAAATATAGACAACACGTTCTACTTAATTAAATATACTTTTTGATAAATGTTTTCTCCTACAACATCAGAGTACAGCGCCACATTAAATACGCACTACAATGACAATAGTTTAAAGCGATTTGAAGCATGTTTTATATTTTTTTGGGGGGGGGCAGAGCTTTGTGACGTCATATTTGAGGGGGGGTCTGACTTTTTGTGACGCCGTGTGACGAGGCGGGGGGCGGGGGTCAAAAATCGTCCAAAATCGCGTGACGTCATTTATGGACGGCCCCTTAGAGTTTGGCTCCTGCTGTACATTTCTACAGGACGATGACAAGCCACTACGTAGAGCAGCGATCACTTGTGGCCAAGTTGCTTCTGAGAAAGAGCTGCGTAGCTCAGTGGACCTTACCTGGTAGCATAAACAAAAATAGTCGTAGTAAATAGTAGTTTGTGGTCCTTCCTTCGCGTGATTGGCTACATAGGGTGCTAAAGAATGTCAACGTACACGCATGCATACGCAGTTGACACAGCTGGATGAGAGTGTTGGGGCAAACGTGCGTCCGCAGCTGACGAGGCAGGCGCATGGGATAACTCGAAATACTGAAAGTGGAGCGCCAGAGGCCCGGCGCACTAACGGGAGGGATTCTCATCCGTGCCCTGTGGCATGCGCAGCTCTCACGCTGACCTGAATTGCAACGCGCTCGATTTGAGCGGAGGGTTTCATGAAATCGTTTTTGTTTGCGTCACTGGGGTAACCCCGGTTCGCGTTTTGCCGCGTGAATAGACTAAATGTACGGGCTGCTGGACTCTCAAGTGAGAGACGAAAGGCGGTTGGTTGCCACCTTTGGACGTTGAACTTCTTTCACACTGTACGTAGCGCCGTACGTAAGCCAACCGCGCCAATCGGTGTGATGGGTAGCACACTGGACGAGTCCATTGCGTGGTGGGATAGAGTGTGGGTACGCCAACCTCTTTCGAGAAGTCTGCTCAGCGTGGAAGCGTAGGCTAAATTCCCTCTGGAGATTCCTCCAGTGGAGGCCATTTCCGTGAGCAAGCAACTGCAGCGATGCGCCTGTGCCTTTTGAATACAATAAAGGAAAACGTAACTGGCATTGATTGGCCCAACATCCTAAAGCTGAAAGTGACTTGCACAATACTCGGCTGGGACCGCACGGAGCAACGTCATTGCCTTCTGGGACGAAAACCTGGTGGGACCCTGCTGGAAGCGCCCCTCGAGAAACAAAAACGTTGGCTTTCCCGGGTGAATGAGCGGAACAACGACAACGAAAACTCAGAAATGAGGCCAAATGTAACTGCGCGGTGACTTTAGCCGTCGTGCGTCGGCGCGTGCCAATTGGTGCATTTAAAAAATTCTGCCAGGAAATATTTCCCCGTTGACAACTTTCTAAAAACCGGTAATCGAACATTGAGAGGGGTTCTTTTTGTACCGGTCTAGCGGCTCTCTCGTTGTGGCGGCCCTGATTTTAAATCTTCGCGGCCAATCGTGGCCGAGGATCGTAGCCAGTCGGGTTTCTGTGGGTTCGCGAGGCGATCGCGACCAAGGGGTTTCATGAGCTCTGCATGGGGAATCTCTCGGCTATTGGATGTAAATGCGCTGGCAGCAACCTTCACCGCCCACTCAGCAGACCCCGCCAGGCTTTGCTCGCTCTCGCGTACACCGCTGGGCAGAAAGCGATCCCGCATGCGAGTTCGTGCGTGCGTTGTTGTGTGCATGATGAGTGAGTCAGCACTCTGGGGAGCACAGCTGGTGCATCTGTCAGTCATCCCCGTCAGTCAACCCATAGCACCCGGGTCTGCCCCGTGACCTCCTGCCAGCGGGCCTTTCGCGCTTCACGTGATGGTCTCGGAGCACACCTAGCCTGGCACAAGCGCTGTGGTGACATCACCTCCACTAAGTGGAAAATGGCGGCTGTTGTGTGCATTTGTGCATGTGCGTGTGTGTGCATGGGCTTAGGGGATCTGTAGTGTAGCGGTTAGCCTGACCACCGACACCCTCGTGTGCCGTACCGACCTTCATAGGTGGTCGCTAACAGCACTTTCCCCAACAGTCTGTTAAGGTGATACGGGGGATCTTTGTCTTTATGGGCATATTTGCATATTTGTGTGTGTGCGTTTGAATACACGTGCGTGCGTCCATGTGCACGTGGTTCTATGTGCACATGCGTGTGCGCGCATCTGTGATTGTGTGCGTGCGTGCGATTGTGTTGTCCACACTCTGGTGCAGGAAACACGTGGCAGGACACTCACAATTGGGGATTGTTTCTAACTCTAACCCCCTTGATACAATTGACCCCTCTGCATGCAACCCATGTCAACTGCCACCGTATCAGCCATGCAAACCTGACCTGCGACTCGCCAGCGAATAGCAACACACACACACGGCTCGTTATCCCGTATCTCCTCAGCACACGATGGCCCGGGGCGGCGCGCTTGTTTCATTAGGAAACGAGTTTGACGCTCCAAAGTCGTATTTGCTTCGGTTGTTTTGTCTCCGTTGGGGATTTCGCACATGTGTTTTTTTTATTTAGACAGCGTAACCTGTCGGGCAGGTTTAGCCAGACCCTTAAAATGGACGGATTGTCACGGCTCTTCAGCTTGCAGAAGGCACTGCAGGGGTTGGGGGGAGTGGATGTTGAAAGTTGTTCTGTGGTCGCCTGGCGCCGATGAAAGTCAAGCGGCGGTCCCAGGGCCCCCGCGGATGAGCCACGGGCAAAGCCTGTGGTGTGCCGGCGGCTGAGATGATGGAAGCGGTTGTGACGCAGTAATTCTCGGACTTTCCGCATCCGATGGAAAAACTCGTGAGAAACACGGGTGATGGGATTGGATCATGAGTGACGTTAACTACCTCGCCTCGTATACAGGAGGTCGTGGGTTCGATCCCGACGCTGACACCTGCTGTCAATTTGGAATGTGCATGTCTCTCTTCCCGTGGTGGTGTGGATTTTCCCCTCCACGTTTAGAAACATGCGCTTGGCTGCTATACATTTCCACGCAATTAGCTACTTCGTTGAGCTATCATTTGCGGCCAGGCCGCTTCTGAATTGAGCTACATTGCTCAGTGCGCCTTACATGGTAAAATAAAAAAAAATGTTCATAGCACCTCACGGTTGCACTGGAACATCCCAATGAAGGAGCCTCCTGTAAAAGAGCCTTGAGACTAAGCTCGACACGTCTCAGTAATCACCGTGCAAGCAGCAGCAGCATCATCATCATTATTATTATTATTCTATGGGGCCCTTTTTGCCAGTATCGAGATGATGAAAAGATTAAGAGGCTTTATCATTTTAACGGCAAGAGGTGTTAAGATGTTAAAACACCAAATAAACAGCTATGACATAGATTACCAACGTACATTTGTTTGCACGTTTAACCACAAAGCATGTGTGGTTAATACAGACGCGATGCCTTGCGATGGGTGTCAATTTGATGTTTGAACATATTAACACCTTGTACGGTATTCTTGCCAGACAGGTTAAAGCTTATTCGTTTTTTCATCATCTTGATACTGGAAAAAAATGTCCCATAGATGAAACTGCTGGACCCAGGAATGTCATGCTGTAATATTTGCATTGTGTTTGTGCTGTTCACCTTTTGACGTTCTTTGGTCTCACACTGTTGAGACAAGGCCATAATATGTACGTTGAATTTCTTTCACACCATACGTAGCCAACCACGCTAATCGGCTAATGAGGCTGTCTCCTGTGTAGGCCAATCAGTTGCAAGGACAATGCATACATTGTCAATGGATGTTTGTTCGTTTTACCACAAGCATGTGTGGTGAATGCAGGAGGCTTGACCCCTCGTGATGGGTGTCTATTTTTAGTTTGAACATCTTAACACCTGTGCTCCTGACGGTAGGGATGAAACCTATTGTTTTTTCATAATTATAATCATAAAACGATGTATAATTTGACTTTCGCATCCAATATTATTCATGTTTTTTTGGGTGAGATCGCGTAAGTATAAATGTGTCCTTAATGCACCACCACCCGACACTGCCAATTAGTAAGGTTTGTCACAAAAACGAAATGGCAATTCTGGAAAAATCGCCCGATGATACTGGATGTAATCACCGGAGAAACATCGTAAATGTCGTGCATTTAATCTCCAACACACCGGTGGGCTGAAGTAGTAACTCATGGGCATGGTTTGTTTACTTGATAAAGCTATTGAATTGGCCGTGTCGATTGGTGGCGGGTTAACGACACATTTATACTTACGCGATCTAAACCAAAACAAATCTTTGTTATGTTATATCATTGCAACCGCCAATCACAGCGGGTCTGGTCGTGGTGACTTGTGAAGCTGTGCTTGGGTCCACCCACTGATCGCCGACCTCCCCGACTTCCCTTGCTCTCTGGCACCGAGTTGCAGGTGGTGACGACCTTCGACCTGAGGAGCAACCTCGTGTCCTGCCACCCGAGCGGCGCTCATGGCCACGAGGCTTTCCTGGGAGGCCCAGAGGTTCTGCCTTCCTTTCCCGACATCCTGCGAACGGGCCAATACAGCTGAGCGACGGCACGCGAGCTCCATCACAACGAGCCGGAGACTTCGTTGAACAGCTTCTCTGTCTTGATGTGGTTTGTGGAAGTACCAATGTGGCCGAAAAGGAGACATTTGACTTCACATTAACGCAAGTCTACGTGTACGCATGTTATATTTTATCCGCTTTATATCGACTTGAATCCAGCCACATGACCCAGTGGTTTATACCCTGAGCTCCGCTTGCAGTCAGAAGGTTGTGAATTTGAATCCCGATCATGGGGGTTGGATGCCAGTCCATCATCCCTCTACGGTCGGGAAAAAGAAGTATCACTTTGCGGATAGTTCAACAGTGGTGGATTTCCTCTGGAAATACTCAGCTCTGCGTGGTAAGAATGTGGACTTTGCACCAATGGAAATGAGTGAGGCTCCATGCTCATGCTCTTGACTTTTGCCCGTGTCAGTGGTGGCTGAAGATAAGAAGTGTTGTTTAGGTCTTCTGCTGGTCCTGTGATATGTAGAGATAGGAGAGGCTGCATCACAATCCTTGTTCGAGCTTTGATGATGACTTCACCAGACTCCACTGGGAGGGCAGACAGTTATTGAGTTATTTTTTGAGCGATAATGCACTTACATGTGGCAGTCCCGAGAGGTTTTCAAGCAGACATCATTACATCATAAATGCAATACTCGTAAATCCCTGCCAATGCGCAATTAATGGCCCAGGCCTTGCAAAACCAGATACGAAAATTGGCGAAAAACCACGAACATCCACATTGCATATACGACACAAAGCCTATCTGTTTTGATAAAAGTGCTAAGTGGTAGAAACACAGAAGAGATAATCTTTGACACTGTTTACCCCACGCCGTGGCGTAACAGAGGTGCTGCAAAACAAGCAGATGCCTCGTTTATGGGCGCACGGAGCGAGCGCGCACAGTCACGAGGCTCGCCACCGTCGACGGTAAATTGCAAGGGCGGGTGGAAGTGCGGTAGGGTGCAGCGGGCAGTGGTGTGGCGATTGAGTGTGCCGCTGGTGCCATTTCACCGAGACCTATGGTCAGGAGGGGCCCAGGGACAGGGCTGGGGGGGGGGGGTGCAGGGATTAGGGGTGGAAATTGAACAGGGGTGGTTCCATTTCATTGCTTGCGCCAGGACTCATGCTAAGCGCACTACGCCAAAGATCGTGAGGCGAGCGAGGCGAGCGGAACGGTGAGCGCAGGCGAATGAAGGTGATCGTGGGAGCTGTGCCCAATTGTGGCTCGCCGTTGAACTGTGAAGGTCCGTTTTGTTCCGTTTCTTTTTTTTTCGACTCTTGCGAGGCTGTGGTTTGCTGGGCCGCAGGAGCAGCAGGAGGAGGCAGTCTCGTGGCTATCGAGCGTGCAGGCTTGTGCCAGCGCACTGCTGTGCCACTGGCAGGGGCCTACCTCAGAGGTGGACTCGCGCTTGTGAACATCCGGGCCCTCGTCAAACACAGGGCTGCGCCAGAGAAATCTACGTAAAAACAGTCGAATTTGAACGTCTTCTGTCGTGAAATTCACGTGTGGTCTCATTGGCTTGTAGCTCAGACTCACAGTGACACGCATGCCTTCCAAAGCCGACAGTTATTGATATTATTTTCACATCATGATCGAGTGTTGGATTTAAATCCACTGTTGTTCCACAACAGAGCTCACATTTGGCGCAACCATTGTCACGTCTGTGGGCCCCCTAAACTCACGACAAAGAGGCTTATTGTTTTCACTTATCGGGGAGCATGCTCGGCCTAGAGTTTTAAATGGTCTAAAGTTTAGTGCTGAGAGTTAAAAAATATCCGATCGACTATGACACTAACTAACAGTGACTACTTCAAGATAAGCACTGCAAGTTGGTGTTATTTCAGCAGAACCGTAAATATATAATAAGGTTAATTAATCACAGGTCTCAAATTGTGATATTCCTCGTTGAAATTGGACTGGAATTTTGTCACCAATGTAATTCAGAAAAATAACTCTGAAAGAGACGCGGTTTACAGTTACTGCACTGTTTTAAGATTTTATCGATGGGGATTTTTATTTCTGGAAGAAGAAAAAAAAACACAAAAATTACATTTATATATATTTTTTATCGTAATTGCTTGCCTGGTAAAGCAAATATCTGCATTCAAATGCAGATGGTGAAATGAAAACCATTCAATGAAGTTCCATATGTTTTAACTTACAAAGTGAACAATATTAAAACCAATAAACCGGCCGTTTTCAGATCCGACTCAGTCCGCTGTCACAAACACAGAAATGCTGAGTTGAGATACATGCCTTGGCATAGCATCAGATGGTGCCTTTAAGCGACCCTCCGCAACAATTATGTTGGTATCGAAATCCAAATGTACATTTTAAGTTAAGCCAGAAACCTTCCCCAAGTGTAGGAGAGCTCTGTTGTGTAGTTTTAGCTGCCTAGAAAGTGCCTTCATTTGTGCGCGTGTGTGTGTGTAGCGGTTAACGCACTGCGCTACGAACCTGGCGACCCAGGTTCGATTCCCGCTCACGGTCAACACCAGTTACGATTATCTGAACCGGTCCTGGGCCTCCCCTAGGTCGACTCAGCCTCAAATGAGTAGCTGGTGCAGTGTGTAAACATCGCCACTGGGGAGACAAAGGAGGCCGGTTGTGTTGTGCCGGCCACCAACTCCTCCGTGTGCCGTGCAGGCCTTCATAGTGCTCGCTAACAGCACTTGCCCCAACAGTCTGTTTAGGCTTCAGGGGGGATATTTGTCTTTGGTTACAGCTTGCGAACCGCATTTGAACTTTGAAGCGACGTGTGACATTAACTGTTGAGACGCACAAAACCGCAAGGGCTTGCCGCAGCATTCGTCAGCGACACTGCTTATCGCGGAAACAAATATTTCATGGGCTAACGCGTCGGTCAGTCAGTCGGTGAAGGAGAGTTGAAGAAAATTGTCATTGTGCAAAGCATCAGCTTCATATGTATAATTTCTATTGTAACGCAGTTGTGATGACTAAACGTGGCGAGTTAGTGCTTGTGTACCCCTGTCAACTTGGTCATGCATTCTGTTTAGCTTCTTGGCCACGACCGATTAGCACGGTTGGCTAGGTATGGTGCGAAAAAAGTTCAACATACACACTAAAAGAAACTGTCCCACGGAGCACGAACTCCCCTCCTCCACCCCCCCCCCCCCATATGGGCCTCAGATTTATTTTTGAAGAAACTTTTCGCTCGCAAAATTTCAGCTGAAAGGAATACCCGACTCAAAAACACAGGTACCAACGCCGTGTGTTACGGGAGGGTGCCACAGTAGCGAGATGTTAACCGCCTCGTCTGGTATACATGAGGTCGTGGGTTCGATCTCGATCTCGACCCTGACACCTGCTGTATATTTGGAGTATGCATGTTCTCCCCGTGGTCACGTGGATTTTTCTCCGGATCCTCAGGTTTTTCCTTCCGCATTTAGAAACTTACATTTCAGAGTATGTGGCTGCTATAGATTTCCATGTGATAAGCCATTTCGTTGAGCTATCATTTGTGGCCTGGTCGCTTCTGAAAAACAGCTATATAGCTCAGTGGGCCTTACCTGGTCAAATAACAATCTAGAATAGTTTAGTATAAAACGATCCATGTGTTGATTAAAGACGGTTTGTCAATTTCATAAAAAAATCCAGTTTTTTTTTCAATTTAGAAGTCGGCAAATCAATCTTCACCTCTCTTTGCTCTCAAAGCAGGGCCATTACCCAAAACGTCAGCCGATAATTTTATGTTTGTGTAATGAGGCAGGGTAAGTGTTAATAAGTAACGTGAGTCTCTGTGAGCTTGAAGCTTCCTTCACGTGAAACTCACTTTGAATAGTTTTACTTTCAGGAGTGCAATATCATCCCCCACTGACACACCTGCTGTGGTGTTTTCAAAAATGCAAGACTCAGACCACAATGACGGTAATAACACTTTAATTTTATGTCGCGTCATGCATGCCAATGGCATCCCTATAACGCTGTACATTCATGATATGAGGACTAAATCCACGACCGAGCGAATGAAACCCCTACGACGAAGCAAAAATCTAAAATAAATAAACAAATGAATAAATTTCGCCAAAGCAAAAAGCGCCAACAACAAGAAAGTTACCACAGCAGATGAACGAGTCCACGAGGTCTACCACCACACATCCCCCGGCACAGTACCAACTTCCCAGCCAAGCCAGGAAACATTCACAGGAGTGGCCAAAAAGTTGCGGCTCATTTATACCAATCGCTCCAATGTCCAAAAATGGATTGCCAATAAAAAAAGGCCTTTAGTTCAGATTTGAATAATACTGTGATGGAGTTGATGTGTCGGATTGGGAGTGGGAGGGTATTCCAGACATCACGAGCAATGCAATGAGCACTCCGCAAAGTCATTTAAAGTATTTTTTCTCTCAACACCGCAGCTTCAAACTCTCCTCAGACGGGCCTGGAGGAACACAGCCTAAAAACTCGTCTGTGAAATTATAGATATTTGTTTTCTCGAGGTTGCAGAGTTCGTACCAATGTCCGTTAACAGCCTGCTAATGATCACTTATATATGTAATTAAGCTTGTTTACCAAGGACAGCCCTTACTGAGTCTCTGATTGGCACGGTTAGCTACGTACGGTGCGTAAGAAGTTCAACATACACACGTACATACGTGCCTCTTAAATCACCTGCCGGTGCACGCATGTGAAACGACTGCTCCGCAAGTCTCGACCGTCGTCACACGTGGCCCACTGCCCCCCCTACCCCCCTGCCCCTCCCCCTTGCTCTTTCCCGTAACAAAAAACACGGGAGGGCTTCCCCAGTCGCCTGTGGAGAAGGGGACACGGGGGCGATGGAGGGGTTCGTCGAGCTGGGCTGAACATTTACATCAACAACAAAAAACTGCCATTGTCAATGCATTTTCTTCGTGACTGTCCCGTGAAAAAAAAAACAATCCTTTGTTGGCATCCTTAGCCTGATAAGAATTTTAAATGCACTATGAATGCTTTTTATGTATTTTTATAATGTGACGTTGCTTTCCGCGCTCTTTTCGTAGTCTTACACATGCATTAAGCCACATTTATGTGTTGTAAAGCCCACAGCTCTTTTCAAAAGAAATGTCGACTCAGTATTAAAACGTGTGCATATATACCGCATTGGGCTTGCTTCCACGTCTGTTCCAGCGAGTGCTGACCGCGATCAAATAAACCATGAAGGTGCCTGAAAATGTGAGACCTGGGAATGAAAGAGTTCAGCCTGCTTACTGGTTGGATGGGCGACCACCAGGCCTTGTTGAAGCCTTATGACTCACTGATGCTTTTTGGACAGTCATCTTTATTATTCTTCTTCTTCTTAAATCTTTATTATTATTATTAGCTTGTTGGCGCCCCCCAACAACCTAGTATTCATCATAGAAAGATAAAGTTGTGCGCTTACCAACGTAATGGAACGTGTGTCCCCGCGACTTGTTGATTGTGATAGCGTATGCGGGGAGAATGGGACATTCGTTTTTTCGGTAAAGTCACGTAGGTCAAAAATAAAATAAAAATAATAAAAAATATAAATAAATTAAAGAAAATAAAAATAAATTAAATCACGTCGTGATTTTATTTATTTTATATTTTACCTACGTGACTTTACCGAAAAAACCAAAGAGTATGGACCCTTGCAGTCACGAAAACTTCAAATCTAGAAAGAATGGGAAATTGTCGTCCTCGCAAAACAAATGACAAAGTCGTGCCGGTGGGGGCCACGTAGATGCTGGGAATCAACACCGAATCGCCTCGTTCTCTCTCTCTCTCAAGCGTTCATCATATTCATCACAGACAGATAGAGAAAGTTGTTTATATACAAATATAATTTTACATCTGAAAGACTTAATTAAAAACGACATTTCGTGTGAATTTTCTCTCGTCGTTAAGTAGATGTCCTTGCTGGGGGCTCGGTTCGATGCGGACTTTCACCTTTTTGTGATTGCGGGATCGAGATAAGGCGACACGGAGCTGCTGGCCGTGCGAGTCGACCGCCGTCTGCTGATCGATTCCAACGTAATCGAACGTCTGTCCCTGCGCCTCCGTCGTTCAAGCACGGGGCGCGTAGGTTTGCAGCGCCCCCTGCATGAAAACGACGGAAAGTGCAGCGTTCATCATATTCATCACAGATCAAGTTGGGCGTTTATATTATTAAATAAGTACCCTAAGTCATGACGAGAGCATTGTTTAATGGAAGTTGCAAAACATCCCAATGTAGAGGATACTCTGGTGTTCTATTCTTCTGCATAACGGCGCGCAAGATCATCAGGAGCTAAGTGCCCATGTCGAGGGCACCACGAAAGGGCTTCAGGAGAAAGTTGGTGTCGTTTTGATGTTCCTCCTCCATTGAAGGGGCGCAGACTCCAGTGGGTTTACAGTACGGTCAATAGTTTGGATTTGGCCTCGGCAAGGTAAGGTAAGAACAACGAGCCTACCTTTACCCTACCTTTTACCCTGATCCCATACAAATTACCCGATTACAGGGTAATTACTGGGGTACTTCTACACATGAACAAGGTTTATAACAGTAAATGCTATAGGTAGAGCGCTTTATTCATATAGAATACTCTCGATGATTCCAATTTTACACGCTTCTTGTCGTATCCTCAAATCTTGTAACTCAATTTTAACGCACTTCCCAATGTGGTATCGACTGCAAACTTGGTATACTTATGTCATACTGATGACAATACTATATTCTATCATAAAAAAATATATATTTTTAAACATTATTTTTGACATGTTATGTTTCGGCTTGGGTCTAATTGTCCACGCTCAACTACGTTATGGCAAGCTTCGGGGCCACTTCCTGGAGTCGTGGAGTTCTGCCATTACTAGTACATTTCATAAAAGCGTGTTTAAAAAAAGTTGTTTTAAATATTACTTATTAAATGGAAGCCACGGACTGCGCCACGGAGCTTTTAGCGGTAAACAATGTACCATATTTACCGGGTAATACTTCGCGCTACCTTAACCCTACCGGGTAATTCTTCCGAGCTACCTTTACCCTACCCTTTACCTTACCCCTTGGCATGTCGACACCTTTACCCTTTTACCCGGTAAAAAGGGTAAACTACCTTTCCTTGCCGAGGCCTAGTTTGGATTGCGTGACCACAATCGCACGACCGTGGCTTGTCTTCCACTTTCCATTTGAGAAGGAGGAGATGGCGCGCGTCGCCCTGTTGATGTTCCGACGCGGTTGACGGTTCACCCGCCGGCGTCTTTGAGAAGGAATGTCAAAGCCAGGCAGGGGTGCAATGTTTGGGTCTCAAATGAGGCGTTTATTCTGGGACGGCTGCTTTGTTCCGCTCCGTTCGCCAGCAGCGTCCTGCAGGATCTGGACACCCTCCTGAAAGAGCCGTGGGACTCGGTGAGAACTTCTTGGCAAAGGGAATTATTAGTGTGTAATATATCACACATAAAGCTAAAACTATAACTCTTAATATTCATCAATTGGAACACTTTTGGCAAGAAACGTCTTCATATGAAAGGTCACAATGCAAGTTATAAATACCGTATACCAAAATAGATATTTCCTGTAAATGCTGGCAATTTCTGTCAAACCACAGCACTGAATGCCCTGGAAAAGTTTACGCAGCACGAGCGCTCTTGGTCCAATGACTCAGCCGTGGCGTTGATCGATGCCACGTGTTTATTGCGCCCTAATGCAGGCAGCATGCTGAAGCTGTTGGTGATAATTGACACGGGAAAGTGCCGCATGTGGTTCTCGCGAATTCGTAAAAATCCTGCGACCTTGCTCATGACCGACAGAAATTCACGTTGTTTTTTTTTTTAATGAGTTTCCATTCCAGTCTATAGCAGCACCTATACGAGTGGTGGATGTGGATGTCAGTGCAGGAAGTGGGTCCTTGGCCTGTGTGTGGATCTGTGATGACAACATTAAATTGCAAAACACTTCTTAAAAGTGTAACTAACACTGTGGACTTAAAACGGAACAAAAATATACATGAGGGGTGACATTTTGAGCAATGGTCCTTCTTCATAGTCCATCATGGAAAGCGTTGAGTTTGGTGTGTTGTTAATTTTAAACACGAAATAATAAACTCGTTTTTTTTTTTACAAGGTAAGGCCCACTGAGCCATATGGCTGTTTTCCAGAAAGATATAGAATGGTGTGCTTGCGCACCACTGTCGCCACAGCAGCGCCACATGAAGTTGATTAACTTCTTTAAAATTGATTGGGCCAAATGTACAAAGGAAGGATCCTCATCAATATGTGTTGAGACTCAGAGAGGCTTCCCTGGATGAATAAATGACATTCTAAGTTCATTGAATTTCTCCTGCCACTTCAGTTTTATTATGAACGCACAAAATGAGCCAACCAATCCAGACGGGAATCTCTTGGTATTGACTTTCTAACCCCATATGGGAGGGTTGTGCTACCTGCAAGGTGGATCGGCTGCACGGTTGGCCACTCACTGCACTCTAAACCCAGTTAACCCGAGTTCGACTCCCGGCTACGGTTAACAGCAGTGATGAGTGGTATCCGCGATTCCCCCCCTCAGTGACCAACGTGGTGAAGTATGGTCATACAACCCCCGCCCCCCCCCCCCCCACTCAAAAAAAAAACGTTGTAGCATATGAAGGAGGCCTTCATCCAGCAATGTATTTGACAAAGGACACGTCAACATTAAATTTGCTGTGGCATAACAGCTACCTCCAATCCGTACCTCGCGTGAGCCCACCGCCTTCGTATATTGCACAATGCCGCAATACACAAAGGCGTTGTGCAACAAAAAAAAACCCCCAATAAACAACGATCATGACTATCGAATGACGGATCTGGCAGCAGTGTGGGTGAGATGAAGGTAATGCTGCCGAAAGGTGTTGAACGCCTCCCCCGAGTTGATTGGCTCTGGGCCCGGCCTCCCTCCGTCCCTCCCGAGTTGGTCGTCTCAGACCCTGCCCGAACCTCCCGGTGATGGTATCTGGAATGCGGTGCAACAGGATGTTGCCACCACCACCACACACACCACGCCACACACACACCACCACCACCACACACACCACGCCACACACACACCACCACACACACCACGCCACACACACACACACAACTGACGCGCCTCTGCGGAAGGCGTGCTTGGGGTGGCTCCCACATTCAACAAAAAAACTATCCAGGTTTGTCTCCTGTTGGCACTTTTGAACCCCGCTCTGTTTGTCGTCTCTAAACGCAAACAAGACTCCATAGATTGGTCAATAACACCGTGGCCTTAACATATATAAAGTACGTTACGTTTTAGGCAATGGGCCATCGCGTTCAGTGAAGAACGGCAATCTCCCGAAATGTCACCGTTTTAGGGGGTACTGTACTGTATATATATTTGTATTATTATCTAAAGCCAGTGTTATTGAAACATGTTGAGTAGTTTTGTGTATGTAGTAATCTTGTGTGTATCAATTTTGCTCGTGTCCCACTGCCAGGACTTCTCTCAGTCTAAATCTGTAAATGGCGAGAAAACCCCAATTTGAGATGTGGCCACGTTTTCTCGACTCCCGTAGCCGAAGTGAGAAACTGGCCGCATATTCAAAACCCCCTTTTGAAGTTGTCTTGAGAACGTTCCGTTCTTTTTTTTAGTTCGGTGTGCAATGCAAACCCTCCCCGCTATCGGTTTTATTTTCAAATGACAACAATACGCGCCAAATGACATTAAGCTTACCCTACAGTTTACAGTTAAAAGAGAAACGACATTGACGTCCTTGGTGTGAGCTGCAGCAACTGTCTGCCGGCGAAATGACATTGAGACAGGCAGCAGGCATGCCCGAGGTGCCTGTGCATACGTGGCATTGCTTCGTGGGGACGTAGTCAACAAGATGCTGGCTGTGGATTAATAATGGCCTATTTACTACAGATTTTAAATATAAAAAAACCGTGTGGGTAGCCCAGTTCCTGAAAAAGCTCCCTGCACGTGCAGCAAAACGTCTGACATTCATGCAGAACAACCGGCAATGCAACCCATAGGCCGCGTGGCCTCTGGGTTGCGTAAACACGTGATTTGTTTGAATGTGAAGAGACCGATGTATGCAAGGAGAAATTGCTTATTACTTTTAAAGTCTCCACAAGGTTGATCGTTTCCGTAATCGACCGCTGATTATCGGCTCAAGTGCTTGAAAAATGGGGCAACACGAAAATTGGAGGGGGATACAAGTGTCACCAACATTCCCAATTGTGCCGCTGGACTGGAGGTGATGGGCGGCGCTTGCCGAAGTCACGTGCATAATCGGCATCTCACGCTGGGCGGGGATTATAGGGATGGGGGTTTCCCACCTTCGAGAGACGGTGGCCGCGATTTTTAGGCGCAAAATTAGTCGACGATAACGTCAGTCGATGAATATTGCCAGAATGTTCCATTTGGTCTCCGCCATTTTCTTTTCATTTTGTAAAAAAATAAAACTAAATTTGAAAACACGAAACATTTAAGCGAAGCAGCGCTCCCCTAGCGGACACGGCGAGGTGAATCGTCGTTGGCAGTGATGTACAGGCACAATTAACAACACAATAATAATCTCCGCGCACATTTACTTATTACTAACAGGGGGAAATTGCCCGAGACGTCGCTCAATAAACATACTTTTGTTTCCCCCGTTCTAAGGGTTTAGTAGTATGAAGGATTTATTTTTTATTTTTCGTAACTTCTGACAGGAATGTGGTGTGCCGACTGTAATGGCATGCTTACATATGACTATGCATTCATGTAATTTGAAATAACTAGAGCATGCCCACTCTGAACAAATATTAACGTTGCACGAGGAATGAATTAACATAATCATTAGATGTCCATGCAACCTTTAAATCCCTCCTCTGCTCGCATTTAGTGCTCTGAATCCGCGCAATTGTAGCCCCCGAGTGCAGGGGGTCGCCAAACACAATAGCAAGAAGAGACATTTTTTTTAATTCAGTAAAAACCTCAACATTTCAAGAACCGCAGTGCATGCCAATACGAGACCGTCCTCAATAAATTACGTCACGAAGCAGTCCTTAAAGAGCCGCATGCGGCTAAAGGAGCTAAAGGTTGCAGACCCCTGCCCGTGTGTTACATCATATTGCATACAAGCCCATGCACAGCCCGTTGTTTTTCCAATGCACTGTTGGCCGAGGGGCCTCCCCCCACAACATGTGGATCTGTTGTGAATGCTATTTGACCATTCTTCACGACGCTGGTAGCATATCACCCACAGGTCGCAAACGGGGTTTGATTCCTTACTCGTACCCGGCCGCACCAGGGTCGCAAACGGGTACCCGTACCCGGCCGTACCCGTACCCGACCGGGTACGGGTACGACCGGGTACGGGTAGGGTACGGGTATCGGGTACCTGATTGCGACCTCTGGGATGAAGCCATGTTTCAGGCGCGGGTGGGTTGATTCTAGGAACTTGAATTGTGAGAAGAGACAAGACGTTGGGAAATGAGTGACAAACGGTTACTCACCAGTGACTCACGGCCTACCCGTACCCGGCCGGGTACGGGTACCCGTTTGCGACCCTGGTGCGGCCGGGTACGGGTAGCCAGGTATCGGGTAGGGTACGGGTATCGGGTACCCGGTTGCGACCTCTGATATCACCACAGGTCAGCAATGGAGAATGATGCACTGCCCTCTGCTGACCACCATGTAGCACAGACTCGTTGCTGCCTGTGGCATCCGGCTTGTGCATGGTTATCACCCATCCAAGCACGAGCCAGACTCTATTCCGCTTAGCTTCTACGGTTTGACGAAATTAAGTGCATTTCGGGGGATTTTGCCATAGGTGAAAATTTAATGAAAACGTCAATGAAAATCCATGAAAAGAGCTAACACGCCATTCCTGACGCAATTATCTGGCTTAACCATCTCATTCGTAAACAATTATCCACACACAGTAGTGAGTGTCCATGTACAGCCCAAGCCAGTGATATAAATTCCACATTTTTATGGTGGGCCAGAGCCCCTCCACAGGACGATGATTGTCTAAACCCCACAAAAGTGGTGCTCTTTTTAACGACCGCTGGAGTGATAAACTAAACTATTTATTGTATCAGGTGAAGCCCACTGAGCTATACAGCTCTTTTTCAGAAGCAAGCCCAGCCACAATTGATAGCTTAACGAAGTGGCTTATTGAGTGGAAGTTTATAGCAGCAGCCAAATGCGGTATTCCTCGGTTTACAAACGTTCGGTTTACGAAATTTAGCATGAACGCAATTGACAAATTATGAGCAAAATCGAATTTCCGCGGCAATGAAATTTCACATGCCACGAGACCATGAAACAATAAGCACGTGGGAGGCTGCATCAACCGTCCGTGACGTCACAGAACCCTCTTAAGTGCAACAGTCGCAACTCCACATCACGTTTCCAGGCCTTCCAATATGCAGAGCTTTTGGCGAGTTCCCTAACAAAAGATTTTTAAAAAATTCAACGTCTTATTTAATCATCTTAATATGTATGTTTATTTTTTGTTTTAAACTCATGGGAAAAGCCAATCCGATTTACGAAATATCGTTTTATGTGTCTTTTGTAAATGGAGGGACACCTGTAATCTAAATGAACGTTTCAAAAATATGGAGGGAAAAACCGGAGGACCCAGAGAAAAAAATCCACGTGACCACGGGGAGAGAGACATGCAAACTCCAAATATACAGCAGCAGACGTCAGGGTCGTGAACGAACCCACAACATCCTTCATACCAGGCGAGGGAGACAATGATGGGCCGAGTTGACCACCATCTCTGACTTAACCTCAAGACTCTCCGAATGAGACAGCGGCCACTCTGCCATGGCACCACGGCCCACCAAAATAAATAAATACACAATTGTAAACAATTATCCAAAAGATGGTTCTCATTCTCTTCTCCTTGCAGGTTGAGTTGATCATCTTGCCATGATTTTGGTGTCATTTATATTTAAGCATCATATTCTGTCTGCCTTGTTTTCACGTCTCATTTTCATCCTCTCATTTTCTCACTTGTTTTGTCGTGCTCAGTCTTATTCATTCTTCATTAGCCTGCGGTTAAAAATCTTCACAGGCAAGTCACACAATGTTCAAATACCTAATGTTTACATGCATTAATCCAATGCGTGTATCAAGGGCGTGAGAATAAAATTACAGTGATGAATTGAAGAATGGCTACAAGCTCACGAACAATTCTCCGTATTGAATTAAGGGGGGAAATTAAACAATGGGTCTGAAACAAAGTTCTTTATATATATGTGCGTATAGATGTAACATTGCTTGCAGCTATCGTAGCTTGGAATCCACTGGTAGGCTCTTCAGCTGGGAAGAAGAGGAGTCTGAATTTCGGCCAAAGAGCACCGATTGGGCTGTCCGGTTGATGGGCAGCACACGGTGGCTGTATCCATAGGGGCGCAGGTGGTAGGCGAAGTACTCGAAGGTGTACATCCACGTGGGAGACATGTAGTGGAACGTGGCCGAGTAGTCCGAACAGCACCGGGGACCCTGGAGCACGTAGCGGGGAGGACACGGTTAGGACACACGGGACACATGGGGTATAGGTGGAACGCAGTGGGACACGTGGAAACACACGGGGGTGGGTAGAGATTTTTTCAGGGCCGCAACAGGACAGGGGCAACGTCTAGAGATGGGCTGCATTGAGGATGGTAATGTTAGCAGCTTATTGTGTCATGGTTACGCTGGTCCCTGCCATAGCAATTTGGAATTTCCACTCCTGGTACAAGACCAGCGATTGAGAGAAGCACGACTCCATAACCCACGTGATCAATAGGACTTGTTGACCTAACATAAGTTTGCTGCAATTGCCAATTTAACTTTGTGCAGCACTGTAATGACGTATTATATTATTAAAATTGCGGATGTGGCCAGGAGATGGCAGCGCTGAGTGTCACCACCACCCCCACGTATTCGGTGTGGAGCGGTGGCCTAGCGGTTAGCGCGCTGCCCTACGAACCCAGCGATCGGAGTTCGATTTCTGCTCACGGGCCAACACCAGTGACGATAATCTGAACCGGTCCTGAGCCTCAGCCTAAAATTAGTATAGTGCGGTGTGTAAACATCGCTACTGGGGAGACAAAGGCGGCCAGGCGTGGTGTTGGCCACCCACTCCCTCGTGTGCCGTGACAACCTTCATTAGGTGCTCACTAACAGCACTTGCCCCAACAGTCTGTTAAGGCTATCTGGGGGATATTTGCCTTTGTATTCGTGGTTTCTCCGGTTTCTCCAGTTTCCTCACAAATGAAGTAAAAACATTCTTGTAATTGGCCAAACATCTCAATGCAGGGCCCTCCTGAATAAGAGGCCTATGACTAAGGTGAAGCTTCGTCGGCTGAAGGGCATTACCATAATATTCTACCAAGAGCTAAAATGACATCTCAAATACGTATCATTAGGCCACAGTGGGTGAGCGACATCTCATTTGTGAGGGTACGATACGATTAAAAATATACCAACAAATGCATTTTCTCACATGATTCTAGGCACACGTTATTGCATGAATTATTATTCTGCACGCAGAATAACCCAACATGAATCCAGCAGTGAAGCTGCCTTGTTCTTTCAAGATAGTCGCGGCTTTTGGCTGGCCATCGAACAAAACACGGTTACCGCATCGCGCGCTTTCAGATGCGCTTCTGCGGCCGTCTGGACTGCTCTTCCTTCTGATATTAGGAAGCCATTGGAGCGATCTACTTTTAAATCATCAAGATTGCAAACTAATTTCTTGAGAACTGCTTTTTGTGTTTAGTTTGTTGTCCTTCCCCCATATGGTGCGTAAGACATTCAACATACATACACACATCTCGTGTTCTAGTTTTGACTTAAAGCTTTCGTGACTGCAGGAATTCATATTATTGGGTCTTTCGGTAAAGTCACGTAGATCGGTTAAAACCAAAAAAAACTCCGACGTTTCGATCGCAACACAAGCGGTCGTCTTCAGGAAAAGGGCGGGGGGGGGGGGGTGAGCTTCCAATGTAAACTGTTTACAAGGGTATGAAATGGGCGTAAAGCAAAACTAACATCGGAAGGTGGTCGGATGGGAACATCATAGCCAATGACGTCTTAAACTGGTTGATAATGTTGATTCTCGGTACCTGAGAAGGTGGGTATAAAAACTGAGCAATCATTGGAAGGGCGTTATGAACCAGTTTAAGTCATAATTGGCTATCATGTTCCCATCCTACCACCTTCGGATGTTAGTTGTGCTTTACGCCCATTTCATACCCTTGTAAACAGTTTGCCTTGGAAGCTAACCCCCTTTTTCCTGAAGACGACCGCTTGTGTTGCGATGGAAACGTCGGAATTTTTTGTAATTTTTTTGTTATTTTATTTGAACCGATCTACGTGACTTTACCAAAAGACCCAAGAATACGTGTTCTAGTTTTAGTTTTTATTTCGTGGTATGATAAACTGCTGCATGCTGAGAAAAATAGGGTCTATGCAAATAATGGCAGTCAGCCAGGGTATATTTGAAAGCTGCTGCTATTACCGAAAAAAACATCGTCTCCCATTAGACAATCTGACATGTTATCGAGACCATCTAAATATAAATATTCCATCTGGAATATATATATATTTGAAAATTCAAGCAGCCTGCATGACCTTTTTTTCTAGTTGGGCGATTTGCTTGCATTCTCCTCAGATTGTGCACGCAGCGTTACCATTCTGTGCGGTGGGCGGCCGTTTTTGTTACAGAGCTGTGTACACACGTGGGGCGCATGGTGGGGGGAGGAGGGTCCAACAACTCACCAGCTCGAGGGGGTGGTAGGAATAGTCTCTGTACCAGAAGTTTTTTTGCTCGTGTTTCTTGGTCAGCAGCTCCTCGGGAAACACCCCGTGGAAGGTCTCCCTTCGGTGCATGTCCAGGGACTCTCCGGCCACTACGCCAACCTTTTCGAGGCACTTGGCCACCTCCACGTCCTCGATGGTGGAGGTGTGCGTGCACTTGCCCGTCTCGAAGGCCTCCACGAACTTGCGCACGGCCTCCCTGCTCATCGCATAGCCGCCGCCCCCGCTCATGTAGCCCTGCTTCACGAAGTACTTGAACTTGCGCCCAAAGAAGATGGGCTCCGACGGGGAGTAGCTCACCAGCAGCAGCTTGAGGTTCTCCATGATGACGTAGGTGTCGTCGTCGGCCTTGAGGAACCAGTCGGCATCGTCGAGGTGGTTCTCATTTATGTAGTACAGCGCCTTGATGGTCTTCCAGTAGAGCTTGTCGCGGCCTTCCCCCGTGCCGAGCCCGATGGCCCCAAGCTCCTTGTCCTCCTCCGAGCTCATGAAGAGGACGCGGTCACAGCGCTTGGCCCAGGTGGCCTTGACGTGGCGAGCTTTGGCCTGGACATTCTTCGGGTGCGTGACGATCCAGCACAGCACCCTCACTTTCTTGAGCAGTGCTACTGCCGTTGAGTTGTCCATGCCTGCGTGGAGGATCACAAAAGCGGTTGTGTCTATGCGCGTGAACAACGTGACATTTGTTTGTTTATTTTACTTTCTCGACTGTATTCTAATTATGCCGTCGGCATTAACGGCACGGATCAAGTGGAATTTGTTCAGAAACTCCTACAGAAAGCAGGGTAAAATCACCCCATGTTCGATCAGAGCCTTTGGAAGAGGTGCCCATTCAAAATTGCTTCCAAGATCTCTTCAGTTGCCTCTTATCTACACGAGGTGGCACTGCACTTTTACCCAGGCCACTCTTGCAGATGCGACGACGCCTTGCCTATTTCGTTCTCACCTGGCTAAAAATACAAACAATACTATCTTCCCGCATCGCATTCTCTGCAAGTGACGTTTGTGAAATGGCAATGAAAGCATATGTTATTAGTTCCCAGCGTTGTAATAACCCAACTTAAGAGAAATCTTAAACAACTTAATTTTCGTCAATGATTACTATCCATGAGTTTTTTTTGGGTTAGATCACGTAAATGTATGAATGTGTCGTTAAAACCCGCCACCACCCGAGACACCCAACTAGTAAGGGCTTTCACGTAAACAGAACATGCCAATTCGCCACTAGTACAGCACACCGGTGTGTTGGATTGCTAGGCTGAGGGCATACATTCGTTATAGTTCAACACCACAGCTTACCCATACATGTTAGCACAAAAGGTTTCAAGTCAATTAGACCACTACTGACAAACCCCCAAGAAACTGAGCGAGAACCCAAATAAACCGAGGCACAATAACATTTAAGACTAAACTAAAACTATACTATTTTTATGCTACCAGGTAAGGACCACTGAGCTATACAAATATTTTTCAAAAGCAACCTGACCACAAATGATAGCTCAACGAAGTGGCTTATTACGTGGAAATTTATAGTAGCCAAATATGTATGGAAAAACTGGAGGACCCGGAGAAAACTTCACAAGACCATGGGGAGAGAGATATGCAAACTCCAAATATACAGGCATCAGGTCAGGATCAAACCCACGACCTGCTGTATACCAGACGAGGTAATCATAATAATAATTAAATTGTATAATGCACATTTCATCCGAGGATCACAATGCATGAAAAGCAAGAAACAAAAACAGAACCAGGGCATACGTCTAACCTAAAGAGGGAAGGCCAGTTTAAAGAGATGGGATTTCAAAGCAGACTTAAATATATCTACCCACTCTGATTGCCCTGATTTCAAGTGGCTCGGCATTCCATAGCTTGGGTGCCACGCAAAGAAAAGCCCGATCACCAAAATAGCACAACCTAGACCTGGGAGTGCTGAGCAGTTAGAGATCAGAAGAGATTAAGAGCCTTGATGGACAATATAAATGTATGAATTCCTGCAAGTAATCTGGGGTGAGCCCTTTTAAAAGCTTTATAGATTAATATCAGCATCTTAAAATCCACTCGGAATTTGATCGGTAACCATTGAAGAGACAGGAGGACTGGTGGAATGTGCTCACGAAATGGTGTGCGTGATGTAAGCACTCTCGCAGCTGCATTCTGAACGAGCTGCAGTCTACCCAGTACTTTACTCCGTATCCCATTCAGTAAGGCGTTGCAAGTAGTCGAGTCGGGATAAAACAAAAGCATGGACCAGTTTCTCCAAGTCAGCAGGTGCATTCTGGAAATATTTCTTAGCTAGAAAAATGCCAGTTTAACCACCTTAGATATGTGTCTAAAAAGATAATGACTGCTCAAACTGAACACCAAGGTTTCTGACCTCCCGTGTGGGATTGACATCGTGACCATCGATCAACAAACGAGGCGAACCAATTTTAGACAGATGCAGAGGGGAACCAATTTTAGACAGATGCAGAGGGGAACCGATGAAAGTGGCGTCGGTCTTGGTCAGCATTTACGAGCAAAATGTTTTGGCGTAACTATGAATTCACCACCGTTAGTGATGCAGATAGCGCAGTAGATTCTGTTGCATAGTCTGGTCCTAACCGGATATACATTTGAGGATCATCTGCACAACAATGGTAGGATAAGCCAAGATGTTGGAGCAGAATACCCAATGGTACCATGTAGATGCTAAACAGTTATGGGCTAGCACAGATCCCTACGGAACACCACAGAAAACCGGTCTAATGAGTGACTTAAGCCATCTTTTGTGACGAAGTACCTACGATTTTTTAAGTAAGCGTGAAACCACAACAAACCTAAGCCAGAAGATCCCCATTGAAACTTCCAGTCGCTCAAAGAGAACCCCGTGATCAATGGAGTCAATTGCTGTGCTTAAATATAGCAGAATGAGGAAGCTGACGAAGCCTGTATCTGCTGACATAAGTAAATAATTGACTACCCTTTACAAGAGCAGTCTTAGCGCTATGTGCAGGTCTGAACCCTGATTGAAAGTGGTCAAACAGATCGCTTGAGGCCCGGTGCCGATGTAAACGAGTGACCACAGCTATACGGAAGGTTGGATTATTGGGCAAAGCTCGTGATCAAGACTTGGCTTTTTAAAAAGTGGGATGACCGCAGCCATCTTAAAAATGTCTGGGACTGTGCTGGTTTTGAGGGACCTGCTGAGAAGACTAAGGATAAACGGCCTCGGTATAACGGAATGGTCCCGTAACAGCCTTGAAGGGAAGGGATCCAGTGGACAGCTGGTAGGTCGAGAGGCAGCAAATAAAGAGAGTAGTTCCGCAGTTGAAATTGCGGGAAACTCTGTTAACAATGTGCCTTCGAACGGAGCTGGAGGCAAGTAGCAAAGAGAGGATACACAGGGAGGAGACATTAATTTGGACTTGATAGTGGGAATCGTGCAAAAACTGTTGAATTTTAGTACAGAAATCGGTGGAGGAGTGGGAGATTACATTTGGTTCCTTATTCAAAAGTTGACTGATACAGGAAAATAAGGTCTGAGGATTGTTATCACTATATTAGTCACAGGCAAATAACAATAAACGTGAGAATCCAATGCATTGTGTAACACCAGGAGTCTCATAAATGGAAATACATGCTAGATTCCAACCCAGGGTTATTTCAATGGTGCCGACTCGATGTTTTGACATGGTGTTAGTTCCCAAGCCACGTCGTCACCTGGCCACCTTTAAAATCATGGAGGTTTATTTGTTTAATCGGTCTGCTACTATTTAACTATTAGTCGGACTTGTGCTGTGACAAATGCACACACTCGTTTGATTGCTGCCCCCCCCCCCCCCCATGGGCTTAAATGTCCTTACCCCAGATATTTGTGTATTTAGCTCCCTAACTCCGTTTAATTCCATGCTTAAAACCTAATACATTACTTTAAAAAGTGAAGCACGGGGTCACTGGTAATGAAAGCCGAGTTCCCCCCCTACCACCAGAACAATGTTGGTTCAAGGTGCTTTTCTGTTTGTGAAGATAAGAATCGACTTTTTGCTCTCCCTCCGTCGACTGGCGCCTTTACCTCCTCGCCATCCCCCGCCCAGTTAACAAAGCTCGTGGCTTAAAATTGGGACTGCACTGCTCCCATAATTGTTAAATGCTTCCGCTCCCCCCTCATCCACCACCCCGATCTCTTCTACCCCCTCTGCCCAGGTGTAGACCTCTCCCAATCCACGCCCGGTACACAAATAAATCAAACACAGTAACCTGAGCATAGCAACCGTCGTGAGGAGTTGGACCCATGTTAGAGAACGTAGCAACAAGTATTGTAGTTTGTTGGAAAAAAATAATAATTTTGGCCTGAATGAGCTCCTACGTACAGGGTCACAGAGAGAGGAGGGGCCAGTGTGGGAGTGTCCCGAGCTTGAGATCCATGGGGGCCTCAGAAAGGGCCACGGTAGCCATCTTTGTCATTTCTTCCCCCTCAGGCCAAGACAAACCTTTTGACAGCCCTGCATACCTGGCCATAATGCAATTTATGTATATACGTAGATTGTGATGAGATAATGAAATTCAAAATCAGTTAGGGGCGTATTTTTGGCACCCTCGTGACATACCTTAAAAAGGTTTCACGTATCAAAGCAATTAAGTCAGTGACTATTACGGAGCGCCTGACTGTGATTGTTTGTTCTTCTCAGTAACAACCCCATTTTGGTAGCCCGAGATACGCGGCCCACATTGTATCCAACGTCTAAGGTTCAAAAGCTGTTTGTTTTTTGGGTGTGGGTTTTTCTTTTTATAGAGACGCGGGGCCACTGTGTGGAAATCCAACATCACTTCAGTATGTGAACCTGTTCCGAAATCCCTAGCAAATGACAGTGAGGGTGATAGGCTTGGGGCTGCAGATATAGCTGTGGCCATTTGGATAAAAAAAAAAAACCTAAGGTAAAATACGACCTTAACGTTTAGCAATAATTCACTTTTTTTTTTACCTGGCGACCAAAGTTCTATTCAATAACACGGCTAACCATCAGTGGCGAGCGATATACTAACAGGTCATGGATTTACACCATCACGGAACACACTGAGCGGCGTGAAATTTGGTCTAATAATCGGTAAGATCTGCAAGGTGTATTGAGGACTTCGGCTCAAAGGGCTGTTAAGTAGCAGCTTAAAATATGAATGTGTATTTATCCAGGTAAGCTTAAAGGGGGTTTTCAGGAGGGTCCTGCACTGCGGTGTGTGGCCAATTCCATTGTGGAGTGTTTGGCTGCCCTAACTAAACTCGCGCTTAAGAGCGGATAACACTCGGAGGATCCTCACAGAGAGACTAAAGAATCAACTTTGTACTGCCGTATATTGGCAAACTCGCATCCAAAGTACACAACTTAGGCAGTCTTATATCCAAGTGCAAACCAGGATTCTGAAACCAATTAAAATCAAGATGACTTCATCACCAATAAATAGCAACCAAGGGAGTTAACAGGGACTTACGTAAGTTGTTATATGCACCTAGCTGGCATTTCACACTGGTTGTATTTGCATAAGCACTTTGACCGAGCAGACTTGGTTTCGGAGTAGGGCAGGCCCATTGAGAGATATTTGGAACCCTGATACATAATGTTAGATTAGGGGCCCATCCTTTACCATGTAAACCATGTACAGATACAACCCGTTCCTCCTCTCGTCAGGCCCTGGGGGTGGAAGAGGTGGAGGGGAGAATGTCTATCTTACCTTGATGGCTCAGAACGTCAGAATCCAGGTTCATGACCATGGGAAGTGGCTCTTCGTCTGTGTCGAGGTGGCCGTGGGGGTAGCTGGTGGACTGCGCTCGCTCGTACATCTTGATGTCCCTCGCCGTCTGCACCAGCAGGAAGCAAATCCCGTAGCCCACGAACCAGCCAAAGACCTTGGAGAGCTGTGGCCGATTTAGCAGCATGGCTCCTTGAAGCGACACGTGATGTATGCATAATTCACTTCTTTCGCGCCGTACATAGCCAACCATGGTAATCAGACGTGCGGGGGAAGAACAACAAACTCGACAAAAAAATTGTTCTCAAAAAATTAGTTGTAAATCTAGATTTAAAAGTGCACAGCTCCGGCGGCTTCCGAATGTCGGAAGGAAAGCGCGTTCCAGACAGCTTCCGAAGCGCATCTGAAAGTGCACAATTCAGTGACCGTCTTTGTTCGATGGTTAGCCAAGAGCCGCTGCTCAGATGACCGGAGTTTGCGTGATGGTTTATGCTCCTTGATGGCGTTTCAGTGAGTCAAGAGACCGACGATACTTTTCAGGGAACATTTGTTGTGATGAATGACAAACACAGCGACGGTTTCTCCACAGAGCCGTATACGTATGCGCGTATGTACAGCCCTTTTGTCGATCAGCTGTTGGCCCATGCGGGTTACCTAACCACGCTTTCAACAAACTGGTCAATACGGGTTTGTGAATGGGTGGATTAGGAACGCACAAGTGCAGTACAGAAATGTAATGTGCTGCTATATGCACTCTGCTGCCCACCACGTAACTCGCCTGCACTAAGCTTGTTTCATTTTTCCGAGTAGCTTGCTAATGCCAGAGTAAGAGAAGTTTGCTGGTTGGTCCTCGAGCTATTACGGTGCCACCGCTTTCACAGACTCGTCACTGTCAAAACTGCGGTCACAGACATTAGAATCGGACTATACTATTGTCAGAACTGCTGACGTGCGCCAAATGCCTTCATATTCAACCCATTCGTGATTTGAAGCTTTCGTGACTGCAGGAATCCATACTCTTTGGTTCTTTCGGTAAAGTCACGTAGGTATTAAATAGAATAAAATAAATCACGACGTTTCGGGCGCAACACAAGCGTCCGTCATCAGGTGGGACGCTTGTGTTACGCCCGAAACGTCGTGATTTATTTTATTCTATTTTATACCTACGTGACTTTACCGAAAGAACCAGAAGAAGAGTATTCAACCCATTGGCAAGAATGACACTTTATCCTCCTCCTAGCGCCAGCACTAGTTTGTGAACGTGGCAACTATTCATTCGTACAAAGGGTTCTTTAAAAATTGAACCTTAACCATGGCATATGGTCTAAACAACATCCCTCGATAATATGAAACCTCATACGTTAGAAATTATAGAATTGTGTCCGCCAGCTGAAAATGTTGCAACACACAGCCACACAAGGTACACATCGGCCCTATGTATTGCCCAACCCTCATACGTGACTGTATATGACTAATAAAACACATTGGTCACTAGAGTGGGAAAGAACAGATGCTATTATGAGCCGAGCCGTGAAGGGCATAATCCCAGTCAGGTGTACACCTGGGGTCTATATACACAGCATGCGTGGACCTTCAGTTTAAATGCGCACCCGTTTCACCACCACAACACAATCATTGGCGTCATTGTGTTGACCAAGTAATGTATTACAATTAATCTGTAATATATTATATCTTTTTTCGCAGAACTTGGATCCACGTCTTCACGAGAGGCGCCTTGCCTACTACATACAGTAGCATATCTGGCGGCTCCACAGCATTCATTCACGCAAGCTTCACTTTTTGGTGACGAGACGCTGTAAGATCGAAGTTTGCTCTGTGCCGAACGAAATTCTGCCGAGACGATTTAGTCTCGGTTCGTTGCCGGGCCGATGGCTTGCGTGAAGAAATACAGTGCCGTTATGTGCATGTAAGAGATATTATAACAAGGAGACGCGACTTCCTGCCAACTCGCGTTCATGGTCACCCTTGGGTGTCAAATTCCAAACGCCCTCGCAAACCACCTCGTCGCTCTAACCCACAACATCGCTACGAATACTAGGACCCCCTTGGCTCTCTACGGTCGAGGGGGGCGTGGGGGCCCCCGTCCCCTGCGACGCGATGGGGTAGACACACGCAAGCTGCCGTACGGTTACAGGTGAACGGCCGTGGCTGGCTTACCTGAGCGTGTCTTTCTGTGCCAGCAGCAGCAGCAGTTGATGTGGTGATGGTGGTGGATGTGGTGGTGGGTGGGGTGGGGTGAGTCTTATCTGACTCGGCTTTTGTACCTGCGCCAATGCAGGTGCGGTTCGTGTCCGAACTCCTCCTCCCCCTGCCTCACTCTCTGTGCGTGAGAGTGGATAATGCTGAGGAGGCGGAGGAAAGGGGAGCGGTGAGGTGTGAGAGGAATGCGAGGTCGGGTGGGGGTGCAGGTTGGGTGTGGGATGCGGAAGCGTGGTGGTGGTGGTCAGCCCCCGTCGAGGCGATAGGGACGCCTTTGCGATTTGCCGTTCACGGCCCAACACCACTGACGTTCATCTGAGCCGGTCCTGGGCCTCCCCGTCGGGACGAGTCGGCCTTAAATTAGAAAGCTGGTGCGGTGTGTAAACATCAGCACTGGGGGGGGGGGGGGGGAGACAAAGGCGGCCGGGCGTGGTGCTGGCTAACAAACAGCTACCTTCTCCTAAAAGCTGTATTCAGGCTAAATGAGGGGGGGGGGTTATATTTGGTGAGGCGGGTGAAGAATGATAACACCCCCCCCCCCCCGGCTCTAAACCAGTTGTGCGAGTCGTGACACGCGCGCAGCGATCGGCGGCGTTGGACACGGGATGTTGAAATTCACTCGGGCGGCGTGGGCAGTGGGCACGGCACAGCGGAGGTTGCGGGCGGCATCCGGAGCGAGACGGAGCCGCGCCTCAAGCAGTCAGGCGCGCCGCGGGGGAGCGAGAGTCAGCCGGTGGGAGGTGGGGACACGAGAGTCAGGGGACACCGCGTGTGTGGCGGGCTGAAGGAGGGCATGTTAACGAAATCGACATTTGGGAGTGAGTGTCAGCCAGGGGTTAAGGGGAAGACAACGCCAAATAGAAGTGGGGATGTTGGCATGTTGAAGTTCTTTCGCACCGCACTTAGATAATCGAAGGTGCGGGCGAAGGGCAATAAACTAAACACAAAAAGCAGTTCTGAAGAAATTCGTTTAAAAGAAATCTATATTTAAAGGTGCATAGCTCCAGTGGCTGCTAATACGACCATAAGAGGGTCCTTTGAAGAAGGAATTGTCGCCTGTGTAATAAGGGGACTATTCAAGTTTCAAGTTTCATTTATTTGGTATAGCCCTGTGGGCCATGCGGCTCTTAAGTCGGGTGCACCCGCAACAAACTAAATATAAACACAGAACATCTTAAAGCGACGACGCGTAACAGAAACATCCTGGAATAAACCAGCAAATATTCCAAAAAAACGTACTTAAACGCTGTGTGCAAAAATCCAAATGTGGTGCAAGTCAACAATAAAAACCATAAGACATATTCTTGGTTCTTTCGGTAAAGTCACGTAGAAGGGAAATAACAAAATTAAAAAAATATAAAACAATAAAAAAACACAAGAAATTTAGATTACACAAAGGAAAGGTCGTTCGTTGTCTTCTGCAACCTGCAAAGCCTAGGGTTTCCACCACTGGTCACCCCAACGTAATGTTAAAGCTCAGCACCTTGTTGTGTTCCTCGACCGACGACTGCTCCTTCTCTCGAGTGGAGATGGGCGCTGTGATTGAATGGAATCCGCCACCTTTATCTGAATTCGACTTAAACATCACTCACTACCCCTTAAATGCACATTGTTCGACAACATATAAAGGACGCGTACGTTTGGCCATGTTTGCGAGTCGGATACGTTTGTTTTGGAAATATGCATTGTGATCCGTCCTATCAATACCCTAGAACTTGTACGGTGTTTTATTTAATGACACTTTCCCGTCTGCCTGCCTTGACATGTGATTTCACTTGACTCCCATGTTTTGGACAGCGTCTTCAGACGCGCCTGAATTTAGAGGATATTATAAATGCAAATTGCGTTTGCAATTAAACAACGCGTTTGTTTTACAGCACATCTGGATAATTATTTTCGGTTATCTGGTCTTAATTATAGGACATTTGAGCTTCATCATATTTTGTACTTGCATCAAACAATACTACGTCTGCGAATACCATTGCTTCAATAAATGGAGACAAATCGTGAGAGTGGTGTAGCCTTTGCCAGAATTCGACAACTGATTTTATTGTTCCATCTCGTTGGTTTACGCCCTCTCAGATACGTGACGTTCATGGCCTTTCACTCATTTCTCGGGATTCCTCAGCGTGTGACGTTGTGGGTGACTACGCGACACATTCCGTTGCCTCAATGTACGCAGCGGTCAATTGCTCAATTGCAATTCGTAATTGACTCTTTTGCACGTCTCGCGGCAGCGGCCTTTATTGTACCTGAAAAACCAGTTTGATGCACGCAGCGTTCTGCTTTGCAACATTTTGTACGCCCACTGCCGTCGCCGGGCCGCAGCGCAAAGGGGGCGATTTTCCCCAGGCCGCAGAAAAGGTCGAGATGTTGGAGACCTATTCTGGTATCTGTGCCCTGGGCCTCCAAAAATATGTCGGTGGCCTTATCCACAACACGCTTGCATCACACGCGCGCGACTCAGTGTTCTTGTGAATGTTGGTCCTTTTCGTCAAAAGTAATTACGTTTGATATTCTTGGTTCTTTCGGTAAAGTCACGTAGAAGGGAAATAATAAAATAAAATAATGATTATGTTTTATAATAAAAATAAACATAATTATCATGCACATAATTATTATGTTTTATAAAAAAACATAATTATCATGTTTTATTTTTATTATTTTATTATTTCCCTTCTACGTGACTTTACCGAAAGAACCAAGAATATGAATCCATGCGGTCACGAAAGCTTTATATCGAAATTTAATTACGTTTGGTAAACAATCCAAAATACAGTGTTGTGTTGAGCTGTATTCCCTACAGACCCATGAAGACTGTTTAATCTCTTGTGAGGGTGACTTCAGTAACCTCTCTGGCTAATCATAATCAGAAGACTGAAACCGACACCAATCTTCTGGCTCCTTGTTTTGCTGAACTTTATACCACCAAGTATTCGCAGAGGCATGCAAACTGCAAGGTAGTTTACATGTTTCCTTGCCAACGACAACCACATCATCAACCAAGACCTCGACAATTCATCTCGCTGCCGACTAAAGTCCCCACCTCCCTTCTGGTTTTGCGCTGTCACCATCCGACAATCTCTTCCAGTTCTGGAAGAACATTGCCGGCAAAACGGAGTGGAACAACACGGTTGTCCAGGATAAACACCTCATTTGAGACCCAAACATCGCACCTTCTGGCTTTGACGTTCCTCAGACACTGGTGGTCAGACCATCAACAGGCCGGCAAAACGGAGTGGAACAACACGGTTGTCCAGGATAAACACCTCATTTGAGACCCAAACATCGCACCTTCTGGCTTTGACGTTCCTCAGACACTGGTGGTCAGACCATCAACAGGCCGGCAAAACGGAGTGGAACAACACGGTTGTCCAGGATAAACACCTCATTTGAGACCCAAACATCGCACCTTCTGGCTTTGACGTTCCTCAGACACTGGTGGTCAGACCATCAACAGACCGATTCGCACATCTCCTTCATGAATGGAAATTGAAAGACAGGCCACAGCTGTGCGTCTGCGGTCTTGCGATCCAAACTGTGGGCCATGTAGTAAACCACTGCAGTATGCGCCCTGTAACGGAGGGGGAATAGCAAGGCCTGTGAAGCCCTCTCGTTGCTAGCAGACTCCGATATTGGCATTTAGTTCTTAAACATATTGCCTTTTGGCGTCCTCTGGTCCAACACCGTTTTGAGACGAGGCTCAAAAGAAAGCTGTCTCTGGTGTGGACCAATCGGTTTCAAATACAATGCACAGAATATGTTTTTTGTTTGCATTCTGACCACAAGTATTGTGGTTAATGCAGACATGATTCCTTGTAAAAGGTTTCAGTTTGGTGTTCTAACATCTTAACACCTGTTTGTTGCCAGAAAAAAAGGGGAAAACCTATTCTCATATTGCCATTCGCAAGAATAGAATATAGATTGTGTCCGTATAGTTTATACCTCTGCGTGCATGCATATACTTTCAGCAATGTGGGTCGCAACGGAACACTTCACCTATTCATACAAAGGATAATCCTTCATACAGGTCGAGGTATGGCCTGCCAGTGTTTCAGCTTTAGTTCTGAAAGTATAGAGAGCATTTCTCAAATAGCCTATGCAAACATCGGTGCTCTCCAATCACTCCAAATCAAATAGCGCACAACTGTATTATTTGTTGCAAGGTCAGAGTACTGGTCTCTCTTTACACAACGCTTATTTTATTGAAGTCGGGTCTAATTCAGCCACAATAGACCGGCCGGTCTTTGCACAAACTGGAGTTGTATTATACTATTTGGTTCTTTTGGTAAAGTCACATCGTGATTTTTTTTTCTACCTACGTGACTTTGCCGAAAGAACCAAAGAGTATGGATTCCTGCAGTCATGAAAGCTTCAAATAAAGATTGTAGTTGTATTTATTTAAAGTTAGGGTGATGTTGTATATGAAAAAAATGATAAAAAATAATAATTTAATGGATATCGAAAAAATGTGTAAATCTTTGCGATTATGCTAATTTATGCAATTATGCACATAGATTATTAATTAATGCGAATGTTTGTAACTATGCTAATGTGGGCAGTTATAATAATTAGGCTTAGCTTCGCTGCTTAAACATTTGTTGATTATATCTTAGTGTGTTATGTTAGGTTTCCAAATTCATATCTCAACGCAGGATACAGTTCTTATAAAAAAGATTGCTATGCATGAACTTAGGAAAGAAACACTCAAACACTTCTTTGTTAAGCAATTTTAATTCTAAACAAATACATGACACTCTAATATGCAAACTCTCATGCTTGGAATTATCCACGGTACCATCGAGGAAATTTCCTTCCGCGAGCAGTATAGATAACCATCAAGGATTGCGTTGTTTCACTTTGGCAACCGCACATATCATTAATTCCACCACGTAACGCGAGCTTAGACGGCGACAGAGAGTCTTTAAAACAGGCATGCAATGATATTCATACGAAAGGCAATAAAAGCAAATTATTATACCCCAAAGGCAAAAGTATATGTCAATAGATTCATCAGCA